TGTGAATCGCTGACATGTTAAAGCCTCCGCATTAATTTAATGTAAAATAGTTGTTACAAGTATACCTTGTTACTGAAAGACCAACTGAAACAGCGAGCATCACCACAATTGGTAAAAAATATAACTGATCAATAAGTACAATATATTCAAGTATAGCTTGTTGCTATCTACAAGCAAGCCCCTAGGAAAGGTGCCCACCACCCCTCCCACAAAATTTTGGTGCAAGAGAGAAGGGGGTCTTCGAAAATAAATAATGCAATAGGTGCGTTTCCTTTATGTAGTCAAGGCCAGGGACATAGGCAGAACTTTTTGGGGGGGAGGAGGGGGCCTTTTTTATTTTAGGTAGGGGCACCCCTTTAAATGATAATTTTTCACTCTGTATGTCCATGGCGAAAACAATATCTGGGAGGGGGGCACAGCCCAGGTGTGCTACTCCCTGGCTTTGCCAATGGGCCTTCTGCAAATGCCCCCCTCCGCCCCCCCACCCCAAAAATTCCTGGCTACTAGCCTGTCTACAATAAAGTTCTTCAGAACAATAAAGTTCTTCATACTATACAAGCCTGCCTACAATACATCATTAACAATGGCCTAATAAATGCCAATGTGGCTGTTGTCTTCCCTGACATGTGAAACAAGACATTATTTTTCTTCGCAATCGTTTTCGTGTTGTCTCTACAGCGAGAGGTTTAGAGATTCGGTGCTCTCGCTTTTTTTCTCATTATTCTGCCTACAGTGTAGTGCTTACATAGGTGTTCGTAATTACAAGTGTGTTCGCTGCACATAATTTGTACAGCAACAGACAGGTACCTTAGTCTTTTATAGCTTTTAGGGCAATTACAGTTCAGTTTGTAAACTGCCTATACATTATGCATTACTTTATACAGTTGCTCTATGTAAAATCAGACATATGAAATGCAATGTTGTGGTGCTCATTATGCAAAGTTTATTCTCTTGTCACTACACCTATACAGTACAAACATCTCTGTACACAACGGACCTGTAACACATATATATGTATAATATATACACACTTAGCATAGGTATAAGCTCTCTCCAGCCCCGCTAGGAGCAACTGTTGTGCACAACATTCAAGGGCCTAGGAGAAGACAACAGTGGTACTTGGCAAGTCAATGACACGCAGCCTTTTTTTTTTTCTTTCCTTTGGTCCACGACTCATTCCCAACGAGAGGAACTGGGCACTCGAAGACATCAAGGTGCGCTTGGCCTGTGAAGCCCCCATTGATCACGCAACGACATTAGCTGGCTGTAAGAGTGGAGAAAACTTGCAGCTCGACTTTGAGAATGTGCAGCATCTACGCTTGGCATCTGAAAACGAGATTGAAAAATAGATTGCAATAAAAAGCACATAATACGACAAATTTTGATTGAACGTTACTTGGCAGAATTATAAGATGCGAGGTGTACTACCTGGTTGAACAAGTCGCTGCTTCTAATAATGAATTCTCGAAACAAATACAAACAAAATAACGTACGGTTGGATTTGCAACATCTCGTACTTCATATATAATTTTTTTTTTAATCAGATCCATATTTGCACCCTCTCAGCATGCCGAACGTGTTGCCAAAAGTGAGTTCGTACCTTACCCCGCTAAGAAGAACATCGCAAAATGCAAAGCTCTTAAGAATATTATTGGTCAACATGATGTTGAAAGATATCATAACCAGTCCACTTTCACCAAGCTAACCCCTCCACTAAGGTACAGAACTTATAAAATATGCATATACCCACTCTGATGAAACAAAATAAAGACCATACACACAATCACCAGAATAAGCCAAAGCTAATCAATATGCCTTAGTTTTTTTTTACTTTTTTAATACTCTTTTTTTAATGAGCTGTGAATAAGGTTGACTCTATGCATATCTTAAAGGGGTCGTGAAACGTTTTGTGAAAACTTCCAACCAAGTTTGCATTCAGAATCCAGGCCGTCCATTCAGGACTATGCCTTGACTCGTTTCAATGTCTGGTTGAACAGCTATAAAAGCACAATTTCGATTCCCCTCTCAGGTTCAGCTCAACTGTACAGCTGACGTCACTAAGTCAGCCAATGAAAAGCTTCTGTCCTCGACAAAACATGGAGACACAGCAATGTCTGCCGAGTCATAGTTGACCGAGGTTCATAGCATCATACCGATTCTATTGTATAAACCATTCGTTTGTAGCTAATTTAATACAACCACAACAGTGGAAGGTGTAGCACCAAAAATTTGGCTATTAAGCATTTTGAATTCTCCTTTATATTTCTTTTATCCCAAAAATCACCTCCCAATCTCACTTTTTTCATCTCCTTCCCTTCTCTTTCCTCTCTCATCTTTATACTCCCCTTTTCTATTCCCCCAGCTTTGGGGAACCAAGCGGGCCTGTGCCTGGTCAGCGCCTCCTCTATTTTATCAATGCCAGCCAGATGCACCAAATCTCGCTGTTCACCACCCCTGCCTCCAATCCTTTCCTGCTCTCGCCCATCACCTAGCCTTCGTGAGTGCTTTGTGATAATGGGGGAGAGAAACCATCAAGCAGTGCCTCACGACAGAATTCATATCAAGTAATTTTTTGTTCAGTTGCATACAGATCTGTGGGGCAGCGTCTTGCATTCCTCGTGTTCACAATGTTGGCGGTCGTGCTGGCTCTGCAAGAGACACAGTATTTTCAGATAGCGCATCTCCGTTCGTGACGCTAATGCGGGTGATCAATGGGGACGCGTCACTGCAACGCTGCTGCATCAAGGGCGCTGGGAGGTGGCAGTGGCATTGCTTCGAACCACAAAGAAGGAGCACGAAGGAACAAATCTACAAATCTGACAGACATACAATTTTGGAGAGGGAAACACGTCTGTCGCACTTCCGCAGGAAAGCCCTCAGACGCACGTGTGGCACGAGCAGCCCAACCCCTCATGCGGCGTCACATCACAACCACTCCCTGAACTAAGGCGGAGCACCGGCTCCCATTGAGGAGTGTGCATTTGCACTGGAATTGAATGAAATGAAGGTAGCATCGGCCTGGTTACCTCCCTGTCTTCTCTCTTGTTCTTCCTTCTCCTCCTCCTCCAAAAACCCCTTTTATTTTTTTATAAGGTTCACATTCTCCTGAACTTTACATATCTGCTGTAATCGCATCCATGATTTAAAAATGGGCACACGTCTCAACACATTCGTCCACACTAAAACCCAAATGTCTCATTGTGGTCTTCAAACGAAAACTCACCTGACGCCTACTGAACGCCTCCTTGCATGAATAGAACATATGGCTAAGATAAACCGACCCAGCTGCCAATGATGATGACCAGTAAGACAGCAGAGATGGCAATGCATATCAGGATAAGCACTCGTTTCTGAAATCGAAAGAGTGTGATGTTATCAACATTTCTTTTCTATTTTTTGTTTAAGACTACATAGTCGTTCTATTTGACATAAAACATGAAGTCACAAGAATTCCTTTCCCGAATAAGCCCGCAAAATATCTCAAGAACCTCCCCAAAAAGCTCCAGTGAATTTTTTTCAAAGAGCGGTTTAAGCTACGTCACCTGAACGGCCACACTGTCGCATTACATGGCTTGCAATGCATGGGTGCAGACTGTGCAAAACTTCCCAGTGCTATTGGGCCAAAGGTGAGCCATATTCAGCACCGTGGCCATTTCGATCACAAACTGTGATTGGCTACCAGCAAAAACTAAACTTTCAGATTTTTACACACAGATGCTACGCTGTTCACATGATCAATTAAACGCACAAATTAGGCTCTCTGCAATGCTTGACGGTCATGTGGCATGAAGAACATGATTCTAGTTTATGAAATCACTTAAAAAACACATTAAGACTATGTGTGTAAGCACTGGTAGACCAACCAGAAAAAATAAAGAAGGCTACCTTTTTTGAATGTACAAGCTCAGACAATATTCTCATTTAATCAGATATGTGAATTCAGTTTTTAAGGATTACAGCATTGTCATGTACTCAGGCTTATCATTTTGTGTCAGAAAAGCTCCCAAAGGTTATGAGATTAAGTGCAAGATTATTCTTGATGCAATAAAGTTTTTTAGACTTAGCTTTCTATTTCTAATAGTAACTGTTGGGGTTTTAGATTTCAAAACTAAGGTACGATTGGGTACACCATAGTGGAGTTCTCTGGAAATTTTGACATTCCAATGTTCTTTAATGTGCATTTAAATCTAAGCACACTGGACTTTGGCATTTGAGGCTTGCATCTCTGTCTAGGAACAAATGTCACAAGGGAATGATGGTGCAACAGAAAGTGCATGCGCTTGGTTTGAAACAATGTTATTGCATCACTTCTAACGTGGCAGTTCAATGCTGCATTAGAGATGCACATATTTTTCAAACTTTCCTGCCTGATAACAAGTCAACAAACACGAAAGACTGAGTCATGTCCTCATTTGATATGCATAATTTGTTTCAGAAGTGGCCGTTTCCCACCAGGTACAGATGTAACGAATTTATCCCCTGGCGATAATTTCTCAAATGCTTGTTGATCTGAATCAACAATCCTGATAAGATCGCATGTGAGAATCAAATGGCCATCAACATTCAAGAACTTTTACGACTACCGGTGACAATACTGAAATGTGCGAAGAACGCATAAAGAGCTGATCCATACACAACAATTGCCCTTGCTATAATTATACACTTCAAAAGCTCTTTGCTTTGTTAAGCATTAGTTTGCCCACAAAATGAAGGGCTTGCTAACTTACTCTTTGGCTTGCTGTACTACTTAGCCGTCACAACAATTTTACAATATTCTACGTAGTACGTGACAGCTTGTGTAGTGTGAAGTGATAAGATAAAAAAAAGATGATAATAAAGGCAGCTAAAACTGAGAAATACACTAGAACCAAAGAAACATAATCAACATATCATAAGTAATAACAAATAAAAATAAACAAAGCACTTACGTTTGACATGGCGAGATCGTTAAGTTTGCACAGGCACCTAATCCAACTAAAAAGAAATCCTCAAACAGAAACTTGAAACTACTGAAACACAAACATTTATTTCAAGACACAAAATCTACAGTGCATGCTTATTATTAGCCTCGTGGCAAAAGTATTATCTCATGTACACCAATTTACGAAGTAAACAAATTAAGAAATTCTTACCCTCCAGTAAATGATGTGACTGTACTCATGTAACAGCTCAGCTGCACATCACTCTTACATACAAGCACACCTATCACACAATGCGCTTTATTAAGATGAACAACTTGAGAAGAACGCAATGATATTGCACAATGCCAGTAACATGCACTACCAGAGACATTAAAAATACATACAGGGCAATCAAATCATGACAGCAGCTTGAATAAATGGTAATGAAAGGCTGAATAAGCAGTATTGTTTGCTTTTTAAACAGCACGCCAGAAACAACTACACAAAATAATTTAAAGAGGTTCTCACACAAAAGTTTTGCCCTTGCCTCGTGTTTTTTTTTAGCAATGTGTTGCTGGAGCCCTGTTAGTCATAGCACGGCACATCGTTTGCTACAGTGTGCGACAGATAAATTATAGGCTCCTCATTACCGACCAGACTCAGTTTCGGTTCTATAGAGCTCCAAAATTGTCAAGCTGTCAATTGCGACTATCATTAACTAGTGCGTGCAACTTTCAACCACGTCAGCACACAGAACTGTGGCGTACTTCCGCACGGTCGGCATCAAGAAGTCTTTTGGAACAGGCAATGGGATAGCAGTGTCCCCAAGCACAATAAAATCAACGCGTGCAGTGCAGCCATGGACTCGCAAGCAGCTGCTGGGTAATAGTCTGCTGATGCAACCGCACCAAAAGAAAAATGGCTGCTATGACATCATCATGACTTGTTGCTGTGTGGTCACATGAGGGAAGTAGGGGCGTCACCATGGGTCCCCTTCAAGCGTGTCAATAGCGCGAGGGAGTCGATAAATCATGCAAACTTCAAATTAATTTAAAATACCTTCCAAGCTATATTCACTGTTTCTATTTTGCAGATGGTATATGCATGTTCATGGGAATCAATCCTGCAGGCTTTCTTGATCGCAAAATTTCGTGTCAGTACCCTATTAAAGCCCCTGTGATCACAATACTTTGACGCTCTATGTGTGTTGAAATCATTCTGTTTGCATTTATTTTGCTTCCAAAAGTATACAGGTCTTGTCAGAACATCAGCTCCAGTAAAATTTTGGGCCCAACAACTTCTCATCTCTACAAACATGCAAAGGGGTTAAAATTGTCGCAAAACAGGATAGATACCCTCAGCATCTGATGTGCTCCAGTTTAGGTTGATGCAAAATAGAAAACTTCTTGAATGAAAGTGGCTGCAACCATAGCGCCAGCAAGGAAACTGGCTCATAACACTATAGGCGGAGCCTTCACAGCGTGCGGTTATGTGAACAGCAACTTTCAAACCTTTCATTGACCTTTTTATTCATTTGCACAATCCTTTACTTGGACAATTTTAAAACCTCCTGATGCTGATGATTTCGCTTTTAAAGTCAGATCAATGCTGTTGAAGAGAGGTAGGATAATGGTAAGGCTTAAAATACTTTCAAGGCACTTGTGGCATTGTTAGTTCAATAGAGTATTCATGTAGAAGTGTTATGAACATTTTATGCATGCCCATGTACCACTATGTCACATAGAAAACAACCAAAGGAAGTTGTGATGCTACTAAACTGGAATCGCTCATGCCAAAACGTATGAGCTGACATGATCACTACATGACCATCATCTCATCTCCTTTCTGCAAGGTACCCATTGTGTAAAACAAGTGGCAGCGTTATGATTTTTAATTTTCTTGTTTACGTTCTTGGTTGTCACTGTCGCAATGAATGCATGCCGTTGTTTTACACTGCACAAGATTTATTCTGTATAAAGAGAGTAGTATTGCCCATAACAAAATGCAGCTCCAGCAAATGTACTGGAAAGAGCTATGCATGTATCAATTTTAGGCGCGAGTGAATGAGCAGTTTATATGAAAGAGTCATCTATACTTGTCTTTCTTTTTTATGCAAGATTTATTTTTCATGCAGCAAGCCTTTTCATGCAACATTCGATATTTCAAATCATCACTACTACAAAAAAGTAATGTCGATATGGCCATATACCGACGGCTCAAATAACGTGCAGGTGAGCACGTAAAATAGATCGCCATCGCCACAGAAGACTTCGGTGACCACTAATAGCTCATTCCTATATTTTACAAAAAAGAAATTTTAAGCACACACGAGCAATGCAGTTACTGCAAATAAATTATTCACTAGCTTACAGAGTATGTACAAGCCAATGAAATTTCGAGGTTAATAATCTTGTCATATGCAGTGCCATTGATTCCTTTACAAAGGTTTCATTGCAACAAGATGTGTGAAAGTGAAGGACAATGAAAAGACCCCGAAGCCGCTGTTTGGCACGTGATACAAAAACAGAGGAAGTGGTACAACAGTCTCTGCATCTTCACGCTGCATAGATGCAGAACAAAACAATGTGCATTACTTTATGTGCACAAGTATTGCTGACAGAGTTGTAAAGGAATTGTCAGACAAAAATGTTATCCTAACCCTTTTTGCACTGTACTTGAAATGCCACTGTCATCATGGCTGACATTACGCAACAAAGAGCCAAGAAGTAAAAATTCGATAAAATAAAAAGAGTAGTTTACTATCAAGATGTACCTTGCCAGTGGCACATGGCTTTTATAATTCACTAATATCCCTGTCACACGTGGCAACTTAAGTGCACTTTGAGCTAGTGTACTTACGCCCACAAAGTGTCATTTTGGCGGTTCGCTGCTACTTGAGAAAGCGAAGTGTACTTTGTAAATAGTGACAGTGGCAATTGCAAGGGTTTACAGCGCAATATATATTTGTTACTTTTGCGCCCGTGTCTCATCGTCGGACCACGTTGTCTTCGTGGAAGTAGCACCAGTGGCATACGCCATCGTAAACGACTAGAATGACTCGCCTATACATGTGCAAGTGTACCTAGAAGTAAACAACGCGACGGACGCGGCCATTGCAGAGCATGTGCGCTGCATCCCTGTAGTGGACATGGCCGCAAAGTGCACGAGAGTGAGAGTAGCGAGAATGTTTGTTGATTTATGGCTTGTGCTAGTACATAGTAAAATCTCTTATAATGAAAACAATAGTTGAAAAATAGTATGAGCGTCGCTTTAGGCAACAGCGTATTTCTGTGCAAGCCACTGGTACCGAGGCTACACACTTGGTCGCAGCGAAGTAAGGTTGGGCAATGCACTTGCCATCAACTGTACTTTGCAGTGAGTGGACACTAAACTTGCTCGTGTGACAGCGGGCAAATGACACTTGCGGCTAAGTGTACTCACTCGAAGTGCACTTAAGTTGCACGTGTGACAGGGGCATAAAACATCATTCAGACATCAGTGGTCAGCAAGGAACAGGACTAGCTCATAGTAAAGAAAAGGTGACAAAGCAGAAAATGATAAGTTTCTGATGCTATGCTTATATCAAAGCCAATGTAACCTTAAAAGTAGACCCTGAGCCCTTGGGCTTCTATTCTTGAATAGTGCATATCAGTGCTTGACTATACCGTGTTTAGGCAAACACACGTGCCGCCGTATTTAAAAAACATGATGCAGACTGAAAAACATGGCATTCTCTCATTAGCTAAGTCTTTGTAGACAATAAGTTATTGAAACACACTCACACTCTGCCTTATAGCTAAGCTTCCTTCTACATATACGATCATAATATAAATGACTGAAGTTAGCTAAATCAGAGGAAAAACAAACGGAAAAGAGAGAGTGGGGGAGCTTTACCGTGAATTCTCTTTTTGTCTCATGCTGAATTGATGATGTAACAACCCCCATCAATGTAGGCACAGACAGTCTCACACTATAAAAATAAAGGCTCCATAAAATAGAGGCATAGTATACACGTTGGCAAACGAAAGGCATTCATAAAACATATATACATCTATATATTTGCACAACATTAAAACTATTGCTCATACACAGATTGCTCAAGGCAGCCTACTAATTCATAGCAGGATAAAAGTATTTCTGTCCTTTTCCTTACTTGCCCTCAAACTTTTATCACTGAGGAACACAAGAAAAGGAACAGTACAAGCCAAAGCTGATTTGAAAGACACACACTATTCCGTACTAGACTTGCCGCAAATGACATTCCAGTCTTTTCGTGTTCTGCAACACGCAACCTTTTCATTACATTCAACAACTTTGAGCCCTTGCGGTATTACATAATTTTGTCCTTCTGCAGAGATGAAGCTTGTCAGCTCTGGCAACATGTGCTAGTTTACAGTTGGCATGGATAGCATAACCAATGTTTTTGGCACAGACCGGTACAAAGTTTAAAATTTGACACCCCCCCCCCCCATTTTCCAAACTACTAACCGCCATAAAAAAAGTGGTTAGAAGAAACACAATAGTAAGCGTCACTTACATAAATGTCTCTTTCTTCTCAAATTAATCTCATAAATATATGACAACATCTACCTCGCTGTGGTCATTAACAAATTGCGGAAGTTCCACAAAATGCCCTCGGAATTCCTTAAAACTTGCGAAGATGAGACGACCACCGATTTCCAAATGCACGCCTTCGTGGTGAAGCCAATCGAGACCAAGTAACTTAATTATCTCATCTTCCCAATTTTGAAGGAACTTACAATGCATTTCTTGAAACACCCACTGTTTTAACATGCAAATGTGTGTACAGACGTTATCCACACAAACATGCAAAATACAGAAACACTAAAATGACTAAACAAAAGTTTTAACAAGGAAGCGAAGAACCACCGACTAGAAATCACAACTACGCGTGCGTTTGTAGCTTCAGTAAACATCTACCACACTAGCTCTGTACAACATTGCTGAATAAAGGAACATCAACGTGTAGGGATAGATGTGCCGTCACTAGTTCCAGTTGTAAATAAACATGCATGTCGTTTTAATACTGCAATGAACACAGGAAAAAAAAAATGCAGGTGTGGTCTAGACAGCTGAAACCTCGTTCATACGTATCTAATGGGAAGATGGTTTGACTAAACCCTAAACAATAGTATGTGGTAACTGCTCAGTACAGTTTAGCATCTTTACATGCATTGCAGCTATCTATAAAAAATAAATACCATGCCACAGTAAATAGTGCTTGAAGTACACCATACGAGGCCTTTTTTAATTTTTTTTAACACCAAAGGTCGAAAAATATTCTCGCTCTTTTGCACTACTGAGCAAAATTGAGCAGTGTAAATGTCAAGGAACATTTCCAAACTATAAGGGGGAACACGCACACCAGCCAACAGCATTGCGGCAGAGTAAAAAACTGGTGCCATGTCACTGAAATGCGATACTCGGAGCTGCATACAGCCACACTTCTCGAGCTAGTTCCGTGCAGCATGTCAACTGCTAAGTTAATGCCGTTGCTGATCGGGCACTGGCTTTCGGAGTGTTCTTATCCGAACCCGCTCTACTCCCAACTATATATAGTTGGATGAATGCAGCAAGCTGCTTTTATTTCTGCAAGCTAAGCTTTCTCCAAACCTTCAACAGTGCATTGGCAATCTAGTATAAGCGGGCGGCAGCGAACGGTGGTGCAGAGTAGAATTGAGAGTGCACAATATCTTTGTAAGAATACACCGCATGTTTGCTGCCGTGCAGAAACCCGAGAATGCTCATCGTGATAACGTTGAAGGTAAGGTGCGAGGCGCATTTGTAGGAGACTGTCATAAAACCTTTTTTTTTTAAGCTCATTCATAAAAGAATCGCGACACAATCAATGTAATTGGAATCACTGATCAAGCGCTGATCGACTAGACGATCGCCCTTTGTCGGCACAAAGAATTCTGAGTCCTTGGCTGAGTCCATTCTCAGCCCAGAAGGCTTTGAAAGGTTTACTACGATTTTCAGTGGAAGACTAGCCTTAGAGACGAACTTTAATGTCGTATTCTTCTTATTTTGTTGGTTTTCCTCTTTTGATATTTTTTGTCTTTTCTTTTTTTTTTTTGCGATATCTCTTCTCTATCATCTTTTATTCCCCCTAACCCCCTTCCCCAGCACAGGGTAACCAGCTGTTTTAAGAACTGGCTGAGCTCCCTGTCCTTCTGCTTACTTCTTTCCTCCTCCTCCTCCTCTAAGCAAGAGGCCCCTTTGACTGTAGTGTTCAACCCACTGCGAACAAAGAGATGCAGTTAAAACTATGAGCGACAAAAAGTGAACACAGTTTGCACTAACCAATGGGTACAGGATAAATCGCTACAGCTTAACTGATCAGAGAACGCATTTGGATCACTGGAGACTAGATTCAGAATTCACCATGAATATATTTTTAACCATTAGTGCATTTAAAGCGGGTTCGACTTAATGAGGTTCGACTGCATGTCACAGAAAAATGCAGAGCTTACTGCTGTCAAAGAAGAATAAGTCTAAATATCACTACTTCAGCAACGACACAAACTCATATACAGTATGAATTGTCTTTGGTTTATAACATAGGAAGGTTGTTGCTATAGAACATGAAATAAATATATAATTTATAAAACCACACAAGCAAACTGTCAAGTTAGAAGTGCCGATAAAGTGCACTTACTTAAGACAGCAGGATAAAAGGAATATGGGGGATTTGCACTGAACAAGAGTGGCCGAACGTGGTCAAATTTTGCAAACACAATTTTTTTTCTCTTTGATTTTTACAATGTGTGTTTATACTTGCTGTGTCGTCTCGCTGGCATATTTTTCTCTTACAATGATCGTGCGATACTTTGAAAAGGTTTCGTTGTCGCCATTCCCAAATTTTCTGGGCTAGAAGTTTTCATAGTTCGTTGTTCTCACTTTGTGTTGTCGAAATGGTTTCGCTTCAAATGTATGTAGCCTGTTTCTACCACTTGCTATACCCCCTTCAATAAGGGCCTTTATCTCAAGCGTGAGGTTTCATTGTAAATAAATAAATAATACATGAAACAACAGCTGCACAGATTCCTTGCCCTTGTGAGAAATAAGGGTACATAAACACTGTCAAAGAAAGCAGCCATTTCTCCGACAAAGACCAAACTGGTCTCTCTGATATCAGGCTTTCCTCATTGTCCTGTTGACTGCCGACTAGAACTTACTTTCTGACTGCGTACTGTGCACATAGTTCTCCTCTCGTGCAAACAGTGCACACTGCAACAATCAACATTTGGTAGACAGCCTATTATATCTAATTGTCTTATGTGAAACGCTATTCCATGTCTCTCTCTGGATGGAGATAACTTAAGATTGGGAGCTAAAATGCTCGCGCAAAACGAAGTGTTGCAGAGCATAAAACTGTTGCGCTCCTAGACACTGCTCAAGTTTCGCGTTCTGCGAATGATTAGCACAAGATATAGTGACACTGCCTCCTGGCGATATCGAAGAATAACAAGTTCGATTATTTGACTTCGAGCTTGAACGTCTGGACAGATGAGTGTTGTGGGTAATACCTCTGTGAAAACAACGCTATTAGTTGTTTTCAAGCAATTGAACTTGTACAAAATGATCAGATATGAGTGCCACCAAATGGCATTTTATTTTTCTCGAGCCATACATTGTTGGCTGTCAGAAAAAATAAAGTTCAAAAACCATTAAATGGTCAAAAGTCTTTAAAACTTCCTCTCCTCATAAAACTTCACATTGTGAGTCTGCCTTTTTAAGGCCTTTCTTTGGATGCTGTAAAGCAGCAAAGCATTCATTCAAAACTTGAAAAGCTTGCATGAAACTGATACCTAATCCTGCCTACTTTCATGCTCTTAATCTTATCTGTACAAGTGAGCCTTGAACAGAAGATCAATCGACTCCAATCGACAAATTTACAGAAAGAGGGGTGTTTCAGGAGTGCACAACATGAAACTACTTCAAGCACACTCTTAGATATTGCAACGGGTATGAGCCGACGAAGGAGAAAAGGAGGAACATGTGAACTGGTACCGCCTACCAACACTATCATTGCCCGATCACCATCCTCACTCTGTTAATAAACATCCTTCAAGCTTAACCATAACAGTTTTATAATGGAGGTGCGAGGTAATCGCCCAAGATGATGAAGCCACCGCCGCTAGTTCTACGCCAAAGCCGATGCCTTGCCCGACTGCCTCCAGCCCTACCGGAGCTTGTATGTCGAAACACGGGGACCAACAATCATGTTTAACTCCTCCGGCGAGGACACCCGGCACCTGGATGTGTCAGATGAAGCCACGCCCTTTCTCAGGGAAACCCGGCGAGGACGTAGAGAAATGGTTCCCTCACTACAAGCGTGTGAGCAAGTGCAACGGCTGGAATCCCACGGCTCAGTTAGAGTATGTCGCTTTCTTTCCCACTGACACTGTGTTGCTGTGGTTCGAGAACTTTGAAGAGCCGCTGACAACCTGGGATCTCTTCGCTACTCAAATCTCTGAGTGCTTCGGGGATTGAACCACGAAAAGAAAGCGGGCCGAGCAGACATTGCTTCAGTGTGCGCAATTGCCAGGTGAGACATGTACTACGTACATACAGGCAATCCTGAAGTTTTGTAAGATGGTGAATTCTCGAATGTTTGAAGAGGACAAAGTCGGGCATCTACTGAAAGGTATTGCCGAGGACTTGTATAACTACTCGATTGGCAAGGAGAGTCTCGATTCGGTAGCTGACATGATCAAGCACTGCCGCACATTTGAGACCTTGAGAACTTTGGCATATCATGCCAAAGTTTGGCAGGTTAGCGAATCTTGCGACGGTTGCAAGCATTGAGGACAGCTACAGTGTCCATTTGGACCTTGCAGCCACTGTAAGGCAAAATATCCCTGAAGAACTCGAGCGACACAACGAAGCAGTGAATACCGTGGACACTGATAAGTTTGGTTGTGTTTTAGTTAACTTCATGAACACAAACTGGACAGTCAAGTAGATCACCTGCAACAGCGCCACCGTTCCTTTCCTGATGACGTGACGCATCACCAATGCACTTATTGGGGTACGACTACGAATTGGCAATTGGAAGATCGTGTCTACTACTCGCAGCATCCCAGGGCAGCTAATCCCGAAGTCTACAACGTCGGTCGCCCTTCGCCTGTCTGCTACAGCTATAGTGCCACAAAACACATCTCTCGTTTTTGTCGCCGTTGCGGCCATACTAGATACGGCCACCACTGACTTTGCCTAACTTTGAAGAAGGCGTCAACAATGATCACTGGCTGGCAGAACATCGTGCAGCAAGCACTGCAGGCTCGCTTGCCACCCAGGAATTCCTTTCGCCATTACAAAAGGAGGAGTGACTCGCCATCATCAGACTGCAGCCTAACGCCACCATCCAGTCGCCTACGCCGTTCACCATCACCAGGGCCACATTCTACGCCGTTATCGCCATCTGGAAACTAGCCGGCGCCCTTGACGGAGGTACGGTCACCAGCCGGTCTCCGTCTCTGTGCACTACTCCTGCTCCTATTATGATGGACAAGAACAAAGTGTGTGTGTTAATTGATGGTGTGCCTGCAACTGCGTTAGTGGATACTGCCACTACGGTTACGAACAAGAGTGTGACATTCAAAGAAAGGCTGGGTCGGAAAGTTATGTTCCCATGAAATGGTGGTGTGACGTTTCGCGATGTCAGCGGAGAGTGCCTTGTTGCTCTTGGTGTTTGTGTTGCAAATGTTTTATTCGGTGGTGAATATCTCATAACAGAATTTCTGATATTACCACAGTGTACTACCGATGTGATTCTCGGGATAGACTTTCTTCAGGATTGTGGTGCTTTTGTTAACTGTGGCACAGGCAAAATTACACTGAATAGCGCGCTCCTCTCTACTCTTGCCAAGGCATCTTTACCAGAGAAAAACTACTTTCGTCGTATCGAACAATTTGCTTATAGCACCATGGTCTCTTTCATGTGCTTCCTGTTAATGTTGCTGCTGCCGACCTTTCATCGTTTGATGTGCAAATTCAACCACTTGCAAAGGGTTGCGTGAAAAAAAAAGTACTTGTGCCACGTTCTCTCGTGACGGTTGTGAATGGCGCTTCAAGCTTGTGGGCTTTCAGTTGTTCTTACAGTGCCTGCTATACTCCCGCACGATATGAAGCTTGTTTAAGTTCGACCAAGTCACTTACAGCTCTATCACCATTTTAAGTGGCGAGGGGCTGTCTCAAGCAAGCGAACCCCAATAAAGCAGTTGTGAAGAACAGGTCTCAGGAATCAATCAGCAAGTCGCTGCCCTCACATGAATGTCACGCTCTTACACAAGTCCTTCTGACTTATCTTTGGGTGTCTGATTTCACACAGGTGACATGGGGACTTCACTACCGCAGTTCTCATGCCCACCGGATCTACACATCCACTTCAGTAAAAATCTTATTGCGTGTCTTCGACAGAAAGGACACTGATAGCTGATCAGGCAACCAACATGCTATAGAAAGGTATTGTCCAAGAGTCATCTAGTCAGTGGACAGCACCTGTGATCTTAGTAAGGAAGAAGTGTGGATCATGGCGGTTTTGTGTTGACTATAAAAAACTAAACGGGGTCACAAAAAAAAATTTGAATCCACTTCCAAGAATTGACAACATCATTAACTGCCTACATTCCACTGCCTACTTTTCGTAAATGGATTTGCGATCAGGGTATTGGCAGATACCCGTGCACCCAAACGACAAAGAGAAAACAGCCTTCATGACACCTGACGGCCTTTATAAATTTAGCGTTATGCCGTTCGGTCTTTATAATGCACCAACAATGTTCGAACGATTTCAGGACACGATATTCTGAGGACTTATATGGGAAATTTGTTTGTGCTATCTAGATGTTATGCGGTGATTTTCGGCAGCACACTGAACAAGCGTTACGGACGTCTCAGTCTTGTTTTGGACTGCGTAGAAAAGGTTAGCATGATCCTAAACTCTAAGAAATGTCGTTTTGGTGAAACAGAGACCTTAGTACTTGAACATCTCGTCAACGAAAAAGGGCGTGAGGCCAGATCGACCAAAAAATTGCGGCCGTCGGCTCTTTCAAACCACTAAAATCGGTGTGGAAATTGAGGAGCTACTTGGGTTTGTTTCCATATTTTCATCGTTTTGTTCCATGTTTTGCCGACGTTGTGCATCCCCTAACATGTCTTCTCCAATAGAATGTCCCTTTCAACTGAACTTCAGCTTGCGATGAGGCTTTCCGCCAACATCGGGGCCCATACTGCGACATTTTGATGCATCCTTGCCGACAGAGGTGTTTGCTGATGCTAGTGGCATTGGTGCCGTACTAGTGCAGCGTCATCAAGGAGCTGAGCACGTAGTGGCTTATGCTTGTGGATTTCTCAACAAGGCCGAGTGCAACTATACTGTGACGGAACAAGAATGCTTGGCAGTTGTTTTGGGGTTACTCAAATTTCGACCTTGTATTTAAGGGCACCCGTTCCCTATCGTTACCGACCACCATGCTTTATGCTGGCTGGTGAATCTCCATGACGTTGGGCTCTTTGACTTCAGGAGTATGACTTCGTCATCTCCTGCAAGTCTGGACGCCACCACGCAGGTGCAGACTGTCTCTCCCGCCTTCCTCTGAAGACGACAGAGTGCCACGAAGGCAGTTTTGATGACTGTTTTGCCTCCAATTCTTCCACATTCCCAGACTCGATTACTTTCAAGAAAGAACAAGATTCTGATATAAGTCTGGAGCCATTATTTGTTGTGGCATCACGTCCTATAGCCACCGGCCGCTTTTGTGTCCGTGATGGCCTTCTCTACAAGACCAATTATTCGGCTAAAGGCGCACGCTTTCTTTTGGTCATACCACAGAGTCTACAGTTGGACATACTGGAAGGCCATGCACGACGATGTCACAGCTGGTCATCTGGGGTTTACCAGATCACTGACTCGAACACAATAGCGCTTTTACTGGTCCAGAATGCGAGGCACAGTTTAGCACTACGTCGCAGCTTGCGAACAACGTCAATGCTACAAGCACCCTTCGACTCTTCACCGGGGCTTCTCCAACCACTGCCACCACCTCGTCTACCATTTGAACAAGCTGGTATTCATATTTTAGGCCCATTTATGCGCTCGTCTAACAACAATCGATGGGTGATAATATGCGTCGACCACCTTACCCGTTACGCAGAAACGGCGGCCATATCATCCTCGACAGCTGCGTTTGTGGCCATGTTTTTGCTTAGATTCATTCACCATTACTGAAACCACGTAACTATTTTTTTCGATTGTGCAATGGGAATGTTTTCTATCTTAATCGTTTCTATGTTTATGAATAGTGATAAAAGTTGCACTAAACAAAGGCACTGAGAGAAGGGAACTTCTGAGACTTGCTCAGCACTAATAGTATGATTGAGCACTGTTCAATAACAAAAAAAAAAAAAGCCCAACATTCAGCAGCTCCTACAGGTAAACTGCGAAAGCTTCGAGAGCCACCGCATTATTTCGGTTTCACTTCCTACTGCATGTATCTGGTGTATAGCATACACATGACATGTACACTCATACCTCGTTATAATGAAGTTCCATCTTACACAAAAATAAGTTTGTTATGCACCCAAAAATTTGCTATAGATATATACTCCCAACACTATATTGCAAGACTATTTCGTTACCTTGTTATATTCAATATTTCATTATATATGGGTTCGTTATATCAAGATGAGAGTGTAGAATGGCCTTTAGAGATATTATTGGTTGCACAACCAGCAACTCATATGGTTCAGAGTGACCATTAGGAAAAAGGATGGAGCTGAATATGTAAAGTAAGAAAAGGAAATGAAAACTAAACGATAGCCCCAAAGTGGTTATTGCAAATAAAATTAGCTGGTCTTAATGAAAGGGCATCTAAAGATGACAACAGTATTGCAATCAGGGAGGAAGACGAGTCTTATAAAAGGGCATGATCACGGTGTCGGCAACACAAGCATTGAACAAAAAGTATTCTAAAAAATCAGAAATACAAACTCATCCCTTTGAGTGTGTTCTATCTATTGTAGTCAATTATGCATATAGAAAGGCTGCATACATCTTAGAATACAATGAATAGCAGCCTTGCTCTAGTGAAATGCGCAATGTTGAAGCAATGCCAGTTCAGAAATAATAATAATAATAATTATATCTGAGGCTTCATGTTTCAAAACAACAATATGACTGAGGGATGCTGTCGTGGAGACCGCAAAAGTTATATGACTATCTGGCCTTTTTTAAAGTGCACCGACACTGCACCTTACATGGGCCTCTAAAATTACACCTTCATCGAAGTGCCACCGTCACAATTTGGATCGGACCTGTAACCTCTGGATTAGTAGCAGAGCCCTGTAATCACCACACTATTGCGGCGGACTCAGTTTGTAAGTCTCAAGCCTTCGTCGCGATTCAAAGGCTGTTCAGCACTGAACAGCCTTTTAAGCTATTCTGGTGCTGCCGGTAGTATCAATCAGATTCATCATAAAGGGGTGCATCTTACAAAGCCATGAACGTTCTCCTTTTCAATACACATCCGCTACAGTTAGGATCTCTAATCTTCTACCAAATGATAAAGAAAAATAGACGATGACATCTCACACAGCATCACAATACTACGGTGTTACTTATTACATTGCAAAATGTACATCACAAATCCAATATCCAGGCCCAAGCTGATACAAAATACCAGTCCATGGTCAATGAGACACGGGTACGTAGTTCTACATGGTCCCTGTGCCTATCCTCACAGTCGAGGGCTCTAGGTAAACCGCGTGTGCTTTTGCTAGAGCCTGTTAAATAACTGGCACAAGCAATACCTGTATTTTAAAACTTCGTTGCTAACTGAAATTCTAAATAAAGAAAATAACTGAAAATAAAAATCAACAGAACATTTCTAACAAAATGTGCGACAGGCTTGTCTCGTTCCCATCTGCAGCACAGAATGTTGCACAATAAAGTGGGAAAAAAAAATGCGTCGCATATTTTGGGTTCTGTCAAGGATCGTTGCGTACGAGAAAGCGATGTCGTCGTCCTCTCCGTTCTTTTCATCTCCGCACCGAGACAAATATGATTATGGCCAGGATGACGACGAGGACCACAATCAGGACTAGGATTATTATTTTCTTCTGCAAACAAAAACAATTAAAACAAAAATAAAAAAGAGGAAAACAAAAAGTGGGTAACAAAAAAAAAAAAAAGAGAAGAGAGAGACAAATCTCAGCCCGCCTGCTCAGAGAACTACAGGCCTCAATTAACGAGGATACGTTGGCGTGGCGAGAACAAAAATGTCAACTGAAAGATAATTGATTTACTGAACAAAATCAAACAAGGAGAAAACAAGAAGAGGTGTGCTATCTTCACGGGCTGTAGAAATAAATATGTAACAAATTCACCTACGTATTGGATCAAACAACGCATCGCACCTCTCTTTTTTCATGATGTACTCTACAGTGATATGCCTCACCATGATACTAACAATATTCCTGACATCATCATCAAACTGTATTACGACCATACCTTCCAACCTGTGAAGCAAAAAAATTGGCAGAAATCTAGTGAACACTGCTATGAAAAGCAATGGAGAGAAAGTGTGGTAGGTGAGCAGAAAGGGGAGGGGAGCGCATGCACGAAGCGTTGATTGATTTGATCGATATGTGGGGTTTAACATCCCAAAACCACCATATGATTATGAGAGACGCCGTAGTGGAGGGCTCCGGAAATTTCGTCCACCTCGGGTTCTTTGACGTGCACCCAAATCTGAGTACACGGGCCTACAAAATTTCCGCCTCCATCACAAATGCAGCCGCCACAGCCGGGGTTTGATCCCGCGACCTGCGAGTCAGCGGCCGAGTACCTTAGCCACTAGACCACCGTGGCGGGGCCATGCACGAAGCGTGAACCGTTCAGATATGCACATGTATTTTCTAAACAACTTGCCTCCGATCTAGCACACAAGCAGCATATTTTAAAGGGACACTAAAGGCAACTATTAAGTCGATGTTGATTGTGAAATAGCGGTTCAGATTCATAGTGTTACTTTTGTGCTAAGAGAGTGCTCATTTTGAAGTAAAATCACGTTTTAGTGGTCCACATCAAGTTCGCGCACTTCAAATTACCCGTATCAGGCGGAACCTGTCACGTCACTATTACCGTGAACAACCTTGCCCGGCATTATTGCGAGGCCGCCAACCCTAATAGCAGCAGAGCGAAAGTAGCGGGAGCCACAGCAGAAACAATGGCTGCCATTGGCTCCGAGACGGCACACGTGTTTAGATTCAACTGGGCCCCGCTAAATGACACAACCTGTCCAGGCAAAAACTGAATTTTTGAACCGCTTACGCCATTCCCCATCGTAACGTCTGGAGTGTTTTCTTTTTTTTCTATGAATCAAGCAGAAACGAACAAGCAGCATTTCATTACACCTCTTGGTGCCCGGAAGGTTCTTTATTTAGTGCAGCTAGTTCAATTACTAGTAAATAATAGCAGGTGGTACCTCTCACACCATTGGGATCATTGCGAAAATGACCTACTTGCAAAGCATGTGTTTTTCTGCGTCTACATTGATTTCTCGGTAAGCAGAGCACTGCTGTTGATACTATCGTCGTTTTGGATATTGTCATACATTGAGCTTTCACTATGATGTAAATTATTTGACTTTTGGTCTTTTTAAACAGCAATCACTGATGAGCGAGAAATTGTTTCGCTGTTCTTAATTTTGCCTCCTCTCAAAACCGTACATACTTTGAACGATACATTATGATGCCACAAGAGCAAGTACTACGCCATGTTTTTTTGTATGCACACATTCTTTTCTCTTTTTTTATAATTTTGAGCTGCATCACCATCCAACATTGTTTAAAACATTTCTTGAGGAAAAACATTGGGTAATAACAAGGCATGACTTGTGAAACCCGGTACGAAGGCACACTAGCGAACCTTACAATAAAGAAATCCATGGATTTCGGGAGCGTATGCACAACCATTGCGAGCAGTCCTCTATCTTGGTGCCTCTCTGTCTTTAAGACTTAGCTTTTGTTGGACACAGACATAACGTCAAATGCGACAACACACACTTTTGAGCGTGCGTTTGTGAGACCTACCTTGCGTGCTTTACTCTGATAACGAACGGCTCGTCGCGTCTCCTGTGTGGCAGTGTCAACGTAGGCCGCGGCATTCTTCACATGGTACTCAATGCGGTCCACCATTTCACCCTGCAGGCAGCGAAATTCGATACTTTCACCCACAAACACACAGACATACAATACAAGGAACATCTGCAGCCTTCAGTCAACCTTTTGGCACATGTTCTCAAGACAACAACATGTTTGTACAATGGATGCTGCTATATCTTATCGGGAGCTATACTTTCATAGAATGCACATGCTATGCAAACGTTTTTGAATTGTGGTGAATGCTAATGCACAAGCAAGTTCATCAGGGACACTGTTTTGTGTGCGTTTCGGGACAGAACAAAACATTAACAAGATGAGAGGGAGCAGCACGGGATCGGTCGAGGCTTGTCTGACAATCAGACATGAAAATAGCAACTGGGAAACGGCAGTGCTGTCAATAATTTCGGCAAAGAACGGGCACAGAACGGAGGCCTCATTCTTTCCGACAGAGAGGATACAAAACAGTCTTCAGGTGACCTGGATTGGATCTAAATATAAGCGCTGGGTTCGGAGAATCGAATTTGCCTGCTTTGTGTCTGGGTTGCTCTAATCCAACGCGGAATAGTTTGCAAAAATTTACAACCAGCCACCACTTCTAAATGACTCATCAAAGTGCGACACCATCAAGCATCCATTCAAGACATTAACACGAATGACAGGTTCAAGTCATTGCCCTCTTCAATTTCAAGCTTCGAAAAAACAATGCCTGTCAATAGTGATGTTAAACTATCATAAATCTATACCTTTTCATGTGCTGAAAATATTTCTGAATTCCCTCATTGGCTGTTTGCTCCCTCTTGTCCTCTTGTGTGTTTCGTTCCATTATGTTGCAGAACACTTACGAAATAGCCCCCCACAGCCCGCTTGAACTCTTGTCTTGCTTTCAACAAGTGCGGCTGCACTGTATAGCTTCCCACTGCTTATTACGACTACAGCTTCATTTACAAAGAGCTGTGCGTAACACTTGCCAGTCATACACAGCCTACATGGCCGCACACGCAACGTAATCCAATGAGAGACAGCACACGCCCAACGACGAACACCAGTGTTGACAGCCTCAACACCAAGACGGCCTATAATGTTTCACCCCGCCGCAACATACCACCCACAAGCTTGCGTGCACACAGTCACTGCATCTAATTGAGGTTTCAACATTTTGGTCAAGGCAAAACTGGCCATACCTGGCTTTCAACCAGCATGGCCATGTCCATGAACATGTCGTGAAGCTCTCTGATGCTCTTCTCCAGCTTTATGATGTCGTTGTGGCGGGCTTCGATTTCCGCCAGCGTCTGCCTGGCCTTCTGCGTCTCCATTACAATCTGCAGGCAACACCAGTGGTTGGGACATCATGGCACATGGCTTCTTTTTTTTTTCCCTTTCCTTTTTTCTCAGAAGCAAGCCCCTGAGAGTTGCTACAGAACGTGCAGCTACGCCCTTGTTGCCCTCTACCACACCTTATGATAACAGGGTTAAAACAGAGAAATATTTTGGTAGCCGAACGGAGAAAGCTGGATCCTAGTGAACTTGTTATGAAATTCTTACTAACCCATGATCTCCTACGTCATGCGTGATGAACATGAAGCTGACATTTAAGAAAATGTGTAAATGTGCAGAAAAACTATCTTGTTTGTTATGGAATTTTCGGACAAGCATAACAGCATTTCAAGCTCTGATCCACCGCAGCTGTTCCGGGTTCCTTATCGCCTGCATGCAGAAACTTTCTGGCTGTTATTTTTTTTTTTTAATAAGTGAAACGCGCCCTAAAGTAACCTCCCAAATGTTACTCTGTAAGGTGCACGAAACTTTGTTAAGAGCCAGTAGGTTTCTAAAAGCTATGTCGATGCTTGTGTCACACTGCCATGGTCCTTACATAATATTGCCAAACTTATGTGAAACTCGCGAGATGGTTGCACTGAAAGACAATGTCAGTGATGTCATGTAACACACACTCGCCAACTCAGTTTATTGCTATGTTACTTCGTTGCTTTACTGTTATGTATTACTATCTTCCTTTCCTTTACAGCTGGTGTTAAAAATAAATATGAAAACTAAGGCAGACAATGCCCTGTAAAAGCTCCTGTAGATATGTCTTAGTTGTACCCAACAAATGCTAGAAAGTGCAAGCAACTTCACACACCTTCAGCGAATAAGTCTATTAACTGTTAAAACAAGTACACTACTTTAGATTTATTATCAGCTACAGCAGTATGATATGGTACGATAAATTTTAATGAGTCCGAAGGGCAGTGCCCAAAAGCATTTCACAGCTATGTGCAATTCACACAAACACAAGGAAATCAATGAAAATCGCTACTTTATCCTTGTTAGCTGCTTTTATGTCTATGTATGTAGCCACAGCAGTCACTCATCTCGAACTACAAAAACATATTCCGCAAAAATTTCAGCATAGCCTGGTGTTGCTGTCTTTCATGCTTCCGACATCAGTGCTGCAACCTGGCATGAGCAAACTTGGACACCACAAGAGGGTTGACAATTTGTCTGGCCAGTATCACCAATCTCAAACCTCATTATAACACAGTTGCATCTTACATGAAAATAAGTTTGTTATAACAGAAATTTTATTATAAAGGTGTATTTCTAACACTACATCTACTGCAAGATTATTCTTCATTTACTTCGTTATAACCTATATTTCGTTATATCTGGGTGCATTATAGGGAGGTTTGAGGGTACAGTTAAATAAGTACAGAAGAGAATAACCAAGAACGTACTCCCTGAGTGAATATGGCTGGATTCCCACTTTCCAGCATCTCCTCAATTTCTTCATCTGTTGTCATTTTCCCCGCTGTAAAATTAATGAAGAAAGCTTTCTCACCATTGCCCAATTGTGTAATATCACAGTCGCAACAAGCAGAAAGGCAAATTAGTAATTTTTATGCTATTATCAAACTAAAGGTAGTACATCAGTGCTGGCATCGACAGATGACAAACCAGAAGCAGGCTTCACCATCGAAACGTCTGAACAAGCCCAATTCTAAAAACTTTCCCTCTTTGCCCATAACAAGGCTTCAGCAAAGGCTAGGCTGCTCAGATGAATCTCAGGACAAGTTTTTAGTATGCAACTGCCTCAGCACAAAAATAGGCAACACATCAGCAGTCCTTTGTGAGGTTCACAACAGAACCACACAGTCACTGAGCTATTTTAGCATTTTAAGTAGTGTGTGAACTGCACTCGTAATAACTCAAAGTAGAATTCATATCAGCCTGTGCAAAGAAGCTTTAAAAGTTCCAAAGGATTACAATGTTCTGACAAGGTATTTCTAAGTAGTAAAGCCCCATGATCTTTAATACAAAGCTTTCTTTCTTCAAGTTAAGCCGTGCTTTTTCCATTTAGTCTCGTTTCTGGGTTAGTGAGCCGACTACTACCATTATCTGCAGCCAAGGACGCCAAGTCGGCGAGGCATTTGTAGGTGTTCTCGAGGGAAATGACACAAGTAGAGACTCGAACATAAGCCCGTGAGATGGTAAGTGTCTCCTATTACTAATCACCCTCTTGGCTGCTATCACGTTGCCTGTGGTAAGAGAAATGAGCAAGCGTTCCCAGCCAAAGTTCCGGTTAGCTGCAGCTCACCTTAACCACATGAATACATAAAGAGTTCAGTTCCTCAGCAAATAAATGTCAGTGGAGCACTAAGCGAGAAACAATTTGTGTGTTGACTCTCTTATATGTGTATTCACTAATTGATTTAACGCCCAATAGGAAAATCACAAAGCGTGCCTTGGGCCGCCATAGCTCAAGTGTAAACATGTACTCCAGGCTTCATTTACATGCGCTATCTATTACCAGCCACCACAAACAACTTGACTCCTCACCATGAAGATGCTAAATGGATTGAACCGGCTTCACTCTTACTTGCATTAACCTCATGGCCAGATACACAAATAAAATGAGCTAAGCTGAGTTGCGAGCCAAATTTAAAATATTTTTAACTGTTCCCGAAAATCTTCAAAAGCCCTTTCGAGGTGAAGGAAGTATCAGTTGAACATTCGATGGGGATCACTACAAACACCAAGCCCAAGTAAGATTAGAGTGAGAGTCAATATAACTGGGAGACTTAAAAACTTCATGGCCATTTAATAGCATGACATGGGACAATATTCTGAGGCCAGTGGTAAAAGCGTAGGGCGTTTCCCAAAGTTAATACTCACTGATCTCCAATTGCCGCCTGATGCGGTCCTTACACCGTTCACGGTAGTCATTCTGGATCTTGTTGTACTCTGTCATGACTTCGACAAACTTGCGAGAAAGTGTTGAATGCTGGGTGATGAGGAATAAGATGGTCAGTGACATATATGCACAGCACTGACAATTGTGACTGCGTGAGCATGACTATAATGGCTGTGCTGATAAGAAAACATAGAACAAGAAAAGCACTCAGCTTATTTTGAAAAATCACATGAATATATGCAACTAAATATCCTTCATGAGAATAAAAACAAACCATAAGATTAAGCAATTCAAATGATATGAGATTAACAGCACTTGAGCACCTATGGCTCAAGAGCAATGCTACTCACTGAATACTCAAATGGTAGACGTTACAAGCACTGTCTGCTTGTTGCTTCAGTCCAGCAGTAGTAATTTGGGCGTAGCATCGCAAGAAATAAAGACTGCTCATAGCTCATAAAGATCTTCCATTTATTAACAACGGCAAATCGAGATTGCCAACAGAGGTCAGTGTGGTACGTTATCTTACGCACCATGCCTCCAAAAGAAGGCCATTGTCTTTTGCTCACGAGTGAAGTTTTCACTCAAGATGTCTGAGCAGGTGTGAGAAATTAAGTTATGCTGAGGATTCAATCGTCACGCCCTTTCACCATCAGGCATAAATCAGTGCTTGCAGTCAGAGAAGTAGAAGAAGATCTGCGGCTGCCCGTCATGTCTGGATTTGTGTCTCCCTCCACGGCACAGTGTGAAGGACCAGAGGCGGCTGCCGTAAACATGGCAACAGCAAGACAAGTTCACAAAAGGCAAATGTCGCTTCAAGTTGTAGTGAGTGCTTCCGAATGCAAATCGAGTGCCGCCCTCACAGAAAATGAACACGATCGGCTCCACTGTCATGGCAGCCCAGAACAAACACTCATGATATCTTGCATTCCATTTATAGCTCCGAAGTACTAAACAGGCAATGATGATCTACACAGCATCTGACATAAAATACATTAACTAATCATTTTTTTATTTTATAATTAGTTTTAATAGAATAAATTGCTGCTGCAAACTGTTCTCATTAATTTGTTTAAGAAACTATATAACCCTTCGTCTGCATGTTACACTGATTCATCACTAGCTACATTACCTTGTAGAGAAAAAGTCACCAGTGCAACACAAGAACCAATAATTAAGCCTAACAATTACACTGTCCTTTTTTTTTTTTTTTGTCAAGCAAGCTAGACTCCTTGAAACAAATTCATTTTAGTAATTGCTTCCTCAGCAAGTAAGCAACCGCTTCAGTATCGGTGAAAAGATGTTAACTAATAGGTTACATGTCAATCAAGCTAACATTTGCCTTTAGTGCCTTCCAAAAAGCTACTCTACAGCATTCCCATGCTCGCAGAATGCTGCTAGCACTAAAATGCAGCTTGTCAAGCAACTACTCTCACGGCATGAGCAAATGCGCACGAGTCCAGTCAAGCAAGAAAAACATCACAGGCAGTCGAATAGTCTTTTTTTTTTTTTTTCTGTCCTGAAAGTCCTCAACTGTGGTGTCCAACAATATAACGTATGCCACCGCAACTGCTTTTTCTTGGCCAAGAAGCAAGAATTCTTTTGCGCCTATTCAGCGAAGCCAAGGCTGTCCACTGACAAGCCGTAATTTCAATTCTCAATGCTGTGACTTCTACCTGTAGCAGGACACACACCCAGCTGTGCATCAGACAGGTGTGCTGCTTCGGTATTGCAAAAGGAAGGTGACTGCTATCATGCATGCGACCAACTATCAGCCTTTTCATGATCTCGTGTTGACCATATCTGTGAATGTATGAAGTTCATAAACAAAACTAGCAAGCTGTCATGTTTTAAAGAAACGAACAAAATAGAAACATTATAGTGAATAACTACGTCACACCTTTTGGCTCCATAAAGTCAATGTTTACTTTCAATCAAAATATAAGAGTGCAAGCTCCCTTGCAATATGGTTCCCTCAAACTACACCTCATTTCAGGATGTATTTGCAGAGATGCAGAGAAAGAATTGATTACAGGACCACATACTTAAAATAAGAAAGCCATATACTAATCACCGCAGCTAGAGAGAAACAGTAAGTCCCCAGTTTTATTGTTCAACTGTGTACGTATGGCCCACATAACTTGCACAATGTTTGGGCCAGTGTATCAGAAGATTTACTTGAGTGCTGGACTGTGCTCAATATCCAATTTGCAAGCTTGAGTGAGTGGAACGCTAGATGGTAGTAGCATGTCATGTGACCACTACTGTATCGCAACTGCAATTCAATGATAAGCCTTTGCAGCCTCGTTTCCATCGCAACGTCCTAGCAATACATATGAAGCAGGAAAGGTGATAGATGACACAGGCAACAGCCAATGGAGCTTGTTTGTGACACTTGTGTTCAACAGACAAGAAAACATCTAAACTATGTATATTATCCCATCATTCCCCTCAGTTACGAGATGTTTTATACCGAAAATATACTATTCAAAGTGGTGCATCAGCAGTCTACAGGCAGTAGCGTTATTATTTGTGGCAATGAATGCAACTCTGCATCTACAAAAAATTAACTGTGTATGTGTCTCTCGCAAGGTGCGCCGCAAGGTCAGCTTTTCTGTGACGTTCTCTTCAAGATATACTCAAGTCTAACTGCCTGAAAATTTGCAACACAAACCAAGAGAGGAATAAAAAAGTGGTGACTTGCAGTCAAAGAGAATAAGCACAAGAGAAATCCCAAGGCAAACCATGCAGAAGAGAGATGAAAATGCGTAAATTCCGCCATTGCAAAATAGAGCAAACTGCAAACCTAGTCGAATGCGACAGGCCGAGAAAAAAGGTCGCAACATGCAAGCGAGAGGCAAAGAGGTTGTTATGAGGGCAAGCAAGACCCAGCCGTACGACAAGAAGTCAAGAGCGAAAGAAAAAGTGAGAAAGAGAGAAATACAAGAGGCAGATAGAGGAGGAGAGAAAAAAGACCTGTCTGCTGAAGGTGCGCTTTTTCCCCCACAGATCCCGCGCGCACACTCCTGAAAGCCACCAATAGGTCAAGCATTGAGAGCAGTAGAAAGATGACAAATTACGGCATGGGTAATAACATAAGTTATAACTCCCTTTCTTACCTCCCTGCCAACAGTAAACCCTGCAGGGGCGCTATGTGCGATGCGCCCACTGAGTAACGCTTCAAGATCTCACCAAGTTAGGTGACTATCTACCGCTACCCCGACACAAAATTCAGTGATAACGAGAGGCAATCACAATGGCTCCACAAGATATGTGTACATTTTTTTTCCTTTCTTAGGGCCCTCAATTGTTATACATTTGCTTATAGCTATTTAAATGGATATCGGTGTACTAACTAACATTTTGTACATTCTTAACTTTCCTTTCTAAGGATACAATGGGCAAAGTCCAGATACAATTCTGTACACAGCCACAAACAAATAAGGCAATGTGTGATTGAGCCACAAGTTACATATGTTCCGGACAAATGTAGTAAGTAGTCGGTAGACAGATACTTCAGACTACATACCTACCATGAAAGTATTAATATGTTCAACAAAATGTTACTGCACAGAAACATATGCATTCATGCATAATGTGATGAGGTTTATGGATAGTGCAACAGAGGCTGTGCAAGGAAGAAACTTAGCTATTACTGTACAAAGAAACCTATGGACAGTGATTAGTAAAGGTCTCAACCGTAGACTGAAAATATATCATAAAGTAGAAAAAAAGCTGAGCATGACTGTTCATACACTGGGTAATTTCACAAAAGTTATTAATAGTAACCAGAGTATGTAGCTCCCACATATTTAGTGAATATATACAACATAACAAGGCACAAACACTGCCGCAAAAGTTACATAATTAAATAGTGATTACTGATCATTTGTCCCGGCGCATATAACAACACACTTGGGCGCATCCGGTAAAGAAATTTCAAGTCAACATTCCTTCATGGAATTGAACATCATAACTGCTCTAAAGGCACACTTCTGTAATCCTCACAGTGTGATTGTTTAATGAAATACCAACATGGTGTTACAACTTTTTTCAGTTTAAAGACAGCCTTTAATAAATGGCTCAGATGCTCACCTGTGTTTTTCGTATCCTGAGCTCAGCAGATCTGTTCCCAACCAACTGGTCCTCTTGCTCAATATTTTGTTGCATCACTGTTATCATTTGTTAAAAAAAAAGATGTTGCTTCAAATTACATTGCAATTGCATCTTCACAATTACCTTGCAATAAAAAATAAGATCATTTCATGTTTCATTACGAAGGCAGCTCATCTGGCAGCAGGCCGAACCATTGCTTGTCACATCTCATTGCCAGCAGCTAAGTAAGGCAAAGTGTTGCCTGCTTGTAGTGAATGCCTTTCAGACTAAGATGGGAATCTAATAATTAGTTTAATAACTAGTATAACAGTGGGCACAGCCAGGCTGCTGCTGATGATGATGATGATAAAATTGACTGCTTGTGAACCTTTGTGTGCTTGAACTATCACTGAAGGCAAACCAGCAGAAAACTGACCTGACAATGGCGTTACCATCGCAGAGTTTGCTGTCAGGCTAATTGGTACATGTGGCTTACAGACAGAAATGTGCAAAAAACAAAGGAAAAAAGGGGACAGTAAAGGAAAAGACAAATGTTTCCTTTCTAAAGGCATAAAATACCAAGAAGATATCCAACTAAAGCAAGCTTTTACTGAGAGCTGCCACTAACACTGAAAGGTGCGACAAAAAATGTTGAACTTGTATTTTGAATAAAGAGGAGAGAGAACTTACGTTTCAACTTCACTCTCATTTTATTCGCAATCCTTTTAACGTCTGCCATCAGTTCCTCCAAGTCCTGCTTCATTTCTACAAGAAAGAGACAAGATGATTATTACAATGACTGCTGTATCCACTGTTTTAGCCTGCCGAAAAAAGTAGTAGAATCACGATGATAGGAATTCGAAGAGATCACGCAAAATATTTGTATCATCCCGAATTCTTATGAACCAAAAACATGTTAAAGATGATATTGAAGATGAACACGAACTTTATTGCGGTCAACTACTACTTGCTGAAAAAAGTCCATGATGTTCTTTTGAACTTTGCTGCTTTCAATAGCCCTCAATAAAGTGCCGCAGTTTCCTCTTTCGTGCTGCTGGTGTGGCGCATTCACACTTGACATCAAAAGTGGCCAAACTCATTGAAAATTCACTCACTTCGCCACTTAAGTGGCCACCAAACCACGCCCGCTGGAAATGTTCACATTCGTCCTGCCCCTTGTATATACATGCCACTGCCGCCATCTTCGTTGCTTGAGAATTTATTCCTGATCATGAAAGTCCCCACCAAGTTCTAGTTATGAATGCAAAGCACTGAAAAGAAACAGTGCACACCTTCACAAATGTCTATGGAGATACATTAGAAGAAACGACACAAGCAGACGCACAAGCAACGCCGGCGGCGACGGATTCAGCCGGCAGTGCAAAAGCGAGACACGTTATGACATGCTGACTCGCTGCTGCTGCATTTTCTTCTACTTTCGGTGTTCGCAGCAATCATAATCCAAATCAGGCTCCTGATGAACACATCTTTTTCAACACCGTGAGCTTTGTCAGTGCTGCACGGGTGATTTGTGATTGCGCCGATGCGAGTCACAGCCCCCGCCATTATCCATGCACCGCCGCCAACTGTTTTTGCTCACGCCATTCGCACCGCCGCCGAACTTCCGAGAGAAACTTCCGTTGCCACCGCTGCACAATAATTTGCGGCGCACCGTCGTTTGTCTTATTTTTACCCAAGTGGTCAAACTGGGCATATAATACATCGTTTCGCCTTCTTTTCTGCAGTTTTAAATATTCTGAGAGCAGCATTTGCAGTGCCTTGACTGCTCTCTAGTTTCCGTGTATGCATGCCGTGTATCTATAAAGGCCCTAAAACAGCTAGCGAAGATACACAGTCGAATGAGTTCTTCTCTGTTGACGTTTCTCATTCTTTTGGCACTCTTCGGGATGCCCAAACAGTGATTCACATGACATTGATAGGGCACATACACTGGAAAGCCCTATATACGAGAAATATCAGTTGTAAATTATTTTCTACCCTGAATTGCCATGCATTCGCCTCCCGCCACCCCCGTTCTCCCTCGCGTCTTGCAGGATTATCATGCGCGATGAACTTGTGATTTCACTCCATTTTGTGTTTTCGATTGCACAAGTGGAATTAAGAAAAGTGTAGCCGAGAAGTTTGAAATCCTGATAGGCTCAACACTTATCCCTCACAATGCACAGATGCTTTGTAAAGACATAAATGGCGAAGAGCCTGTAAGAATTGTAGTAAAGAGAGTGTAGTGCAGCGTAATCGAGTGAAACCAAAGGAAAAGGCTATGTATTATTCGTTCTCCCAACGCACAAATTCTCTAAAGGGAAGACTGCACAGCTCTCCACAACAAAGGCCAGGCTGCTTTGTCGGTTTCTGTACATTTCTTTAATGGTGAGAAGAATTATATGGATACTCTCTACAAACTTTTACCATCCCTGTCATGGTGCGCATAAAGTCCAAACCACTTACTTTTGTACACACACTGTAGCTGTCCCCAAAACTGCTAAAGCATAGACGAAACAAGCTGCCTTTTTCATCCAACAGAGGGTGCATGCGATAACACCACTCCGCGTGCGATTCCTACCATTGATTGCTGCCTCAACCGGCAAGGCAGCCCTGTCTGTCTTTTGCTGGACGAAGGAGTATGGAGGGATACCCAGGTAAAAGGACTGCGTGGCTCGATCCCCAACTGTGAACTTTGAACATAAGGGTGTGGTCGAGTGTGCTAGCATGCGCTTGCGCGTTCCCTATTTCAACAGGCATCAGCGAGCGGCTCGTCTATCCTTCTGCACGCTATGATATCACTGTACTAGCCCTGCTTTTTTTTGCCAGAGTAGCCGTATTCCCATACACTAGCGTTTTACATTTTCGCGAGATCAGATCAGAAAGAATTAGCTGCAGCCTAAGGTTGTTACTGGGCTGCGAGCTCCTATCGCACGGTGTAAATTGTAAGGTCGTCGAAGGGTTTTTTGATCATAACACTATTGACGTCGCTTCAAACTTAGCGTGTTCTCCTCAAAGACCTCAGATGGAAACTGCTTTAAACTTTATTAAAGTTTGTGACACTTTCGTAGTGGACATTTTAACCTCATATTTTGAGGAATTCGATTGTTGTTGCAAATATTGCAACTTAGATGCGCTCCTTCTTAAGTTTTGTGGTAATGCATATCAAAGTATGTGCCACAAAAATAGCTCATAAGGAATCCCATACGCCCATGCTACCATAAAGATATAATCCATCTCACTCCTCGCGTAAAAGTGCTTACGTAAGAATCGTCATTCCAAGTGTTATGATAATGATTCTTCAGCTAATGTATTGAAAAGTAAATAGAAGCTAAAACCAAGAGGCTAAGAGGTTCGGTAGACTTTTGCGAAAAATCCATCCAGGTTCTAGAGGTCAGTTAGTTCTGGATCGTCTATGCCCTCATTGTTTATTCTTGACGACCAATCCTCATCAAATTCTGGAGCTATAGCATACACCTTCAATCATTACTTCAAATCTGCTTTTTATGATATCTTCTTCCCACAGACAAGCCGTGTTGCGCTGCTCGCGTGCAGCGGTCAATCGCATGTTTGCATCACCTGCGGTTGCTGAGGAAAGCGTTCGTAGAACACAGAATCGCAGCCTATTTTATACAATATAGTTCATACGAAGCAACTTAATTATTTGTATAATCGCGAAATTCACATCAACCGTTGTCGTATCATCGAGATTCTACTTATTAACATTTGAGGTATCATGTAGTACCAGGTCTTTACCGATCCGTTTTTCTCTATTCACCACCCTTTTCAAATAAGGTTACAAGGTGATACTTAAAAATTCAGCTGCTAAAATGTGGGCACAATCATGCATGGTTTCAAGACAACTTGTCCTGATACCCTAATCCACTCCCCGCTCCCCATTAGACTAGCTCAGGTTACACCAGCTAATCCAAGTCGAGCAGCATACGGCATTTGACAACCTCATGAAGTCCTTCTCTCCAGCTGTAACTAAGGTGATGGACTGTTCACTAGAATGCAAATAATTGCATTACTATTATATTATAATTACTGTCAATAATCATTACCATTATCATTAATTACAACCTCAATGTCGAAGCCCACCCTTGAAATAAAAAAATACCTGTATCCGTGCCTGGTCACAAGTAAAATTGAAGCAATACTCATAGTAATAAAAACAAGCTAGCAGAAGTTGAGCTCAGAGAGCTTCATCGTTATACATGCTCTGTTTGTACATAAAGATACAGCTGCATTTTTAAAATTAATGCTTCATTCTGCTTATTTTTTCCCATTCCTTCCTGGTTCAAGACAATGAGCCACTTGAAAAGTCATAAAACAGATACGCAAGAGCGGCACAACGCCAGGTCACTCACTTTCGTCTTGGAGTGGTGATGACAGTATTGCACTGTGCTTCTTTTTCATTTCAAGCACTATCTTCTCAATCTTTTCAATGTTTTGCCCAATCTCTTCCACCTGAAACAAGAGACATTGCTCAATGTTTTCTACAATACACACGGACAGAAAGGTACGCAGGAGAAAAGTTCACAGGTAACGTATGCAACCTGTAAAGGATTTAAATCAAGGGTTGACTCGTTATATGGTCACAGGCCTAGAGCAGGGAATTCTTACAGTACATGTAAGCCACATCTGTCTAGATTGAAGACTCCCAAGGGTAGATCAAATGTTTGTGGTTATAGCTGCAGATAACACGAACTGCTGTGAACACGAAAAATTACTAGTGAATCAACAATGCTGATAAATATAGTGTTGTAAGTGCAGAGTAAAACAACTATAGCTCCCACACCTCAATAGAAAGAGAGCAAAGCAGAGAGATAAAAGGAGTACTAATTTTGCTGTCATTTGCTAACTGATCTGTATTAATAAGCCTTCTGAATTTGCATCATATCACCCCATACAGCAAGCAGGCCTTAAATGGATTGGGGCGTGGGAAGCGTGGCTACGGCAATAATATTGCATGTTCATCGCTGAAGAAAATTAGGTCATAACTGATGTCATTCAAGTTCATTTGACATCTCTGGCCCCTGCCTACAGCCTGAGCAGGCCTTAAATGGAAAACTGACTTTTGTGAACAATAAATGGTCTGAATGAACCTGATGACAGTTGCTTAAGCTAATTTAAGAGTTAATTTTCTCTACACAGCTTGCAGACATGACATCAATCAACTGCCACCAAGCAGTGCGACAAGAGGCTCGGAGCAAAAGATGGCATTGGGAAGCCAGAGAACCGTGCACCATCTAAATGCCGTGCAGTGTACCATGCACTCGACGAACTATTGGAACAAATCAGTTACTGATCAGCATCACCAATCTGCTGACGATGTGCTTCACCTGTGCGGGAAGCTCAAAAACAAACGCTGAGAACCCAGTGGTTTGAACGAAATGGCAGTGCGCTAAATCCGCGACAAGCCCCACTGGACTCAAACAAGGCAATTGAGCACACGTCTAATTCTGCAATAAAACCAACTCCCCTCCCCAAGCTGCATTTTGTCATCTCACCACACATGTGGCTTACATAAATCGTGCTGTCAATTAAATGTCCCATGACACATTTCGAGGACTGCGGCTGTTGAAAGCGCAATGAAATCATGTTACATCTGTCATGAATAGCATACAGCTGTGCGTCGGGAATCCCACATTACGCTAGCATGTAGGAAAAAAATGTGACAATGCCGTGTGACATGCCAACTGTGAACTGTAAGGACGACCAAGACCTCGCAGAAATGAGTGCAAAGAGATATCACCTCTGCAAAGAAGTCCTCCATGAATGTCGGAGGGGTCTCCATCGTGACGGCCACATCTCCGTCCATGTCATCTTCGTCTGCCTGCGCCTACAACAATTCATTTGAAAGGCTCGATCTGTCCATGACTACAAAAGAGCCATTGTGGCTGTGGCCTAAGTACCACTAACAAATGACATCATTAAATAAGTAATTAAAGGAAAAATTACAGTCCACTAAACTGTAGCATTAAGCAATGTGACTGACCAGACTACTAAGTAATCTAATAAAAACCATAATGCAGCCTTCATGTGGAAATTACATGGGTACATAGGCTTGCTCAATTTTCAGTAAACATAAGTTTGAAGTCAGCATATATGCTTGCTTCTTCTCACTGACTTCCATAGATTTTTGTGCTGAGGTTCTTAGTGTACTGTCAAGCTACAGCATACCGGTTTCAGATACTTAGTGTCCCTCCTGGTGCTATTAATTAAATTGATTTGGCCTCTCCCAGTGATCTGCTGGCTTTTTCGTTAGCTCTGTTGATAGAATGACTACCCTAAAAGGTTTAATACCCAAGCCACAACTTTCTCTTGATGTACAAAGCTTTCTTTCACAGAAAAGTACATCAGCTTCTTTGCTTTACGCCATAATCTGGACGATATTTTTCCTTTTTGGGTATGCAATAACACATACAGTAGCAGCTGAAATGACTTTCCAGCTTCCATACAGAAGTTCACACAGAATGTCTGTGCTTGACAAATACGTTGCCTTATATATATAACACATACAGTAGCAGCTGAAATGACTTTCCAGCTTCCATACAGAAGTTCACACAAAATGTCTGTGCTTGACAAATACGTTGCCTTATATATGTCATCACCCATGAAGTGTCCTCTTGATTACCATGCTGCATAATTGCATTTGTTCTGCTGCTGGCATCTTATTCCGTGGTAGATATTTGCAAAGATAAACTTGGATTGACCAACAAAAGCTGGTGGTTTCAGAAGAGCTTGAGTTAATAAATTTTAAGATTGCACTACAAGTCAACCATAGATTTGCATTAAATAAGTCATATTTTACACTTGCAGGATCCAAATCACAGTGAAAGCAAAGTTTGCTTATCATCAATCAAAACTTTTCTTCGTTTGTCTCTTTGATTCGGTGCCATAGTGACAGTGGTACTTTTAGGTTTTGGACACCAACAGTTACTTCTTCCTTGAAATTACTAGGAAAATAACTATCTACGATTGTAACTGCGCTTGTACACCGTAAGAGACACCATTTTTTACCAGTATCAAAATATCACTGTCATTCGTACTATTATAGCTAACTGTGTTCCAGTGCATTGTTCTCGTATAAATTATGTGAAGTGTCATAGCAGAGCAGTCATCTATGCATATGTAATTGCCACCAGGAACTTCAAGAGCATGTAAATAAATAAAAAAACAAATAAATGTCTTGTCTCACCCCACCAGCTTCATGTCCTATACAGGCACTACAACTGATCTGTAAATGTTGACATATCGGTTTTCGTTTGATTTTGTTTATGGGGTTCAATGTCCGAAAGCAACAATCGAGCTGTAATTGATGCCACTCTTTAGAACTCTTCATTGAAATGCGACTGTTATGGACGAGAATTCAACCTGCAACCATGAAGCCCATTCGAGAACTGAGCGAATTTTTACGTGTACAAGGTTTTCACCAAGACTCAAGGAAATTTAAAGAAATTTTGGCAGTAAGTAATTCTATTGAATTCCGTCATGATTATTTTATTTATGCCTTGCTCACACAAAGGTGCCTGAGGTAGACAGTACTAAGTCCACATGTATGTTAGCTGTGAAGAAGACATTGCTGAGTAAGTGTCGGCTGACTGAAATAGATTTGGGGTGTGGGAAGCGTGGCTACGGCAATAATATAGCATGTTCGTCACTGAAGAAAATTAGGTCATAACTGATGTCATTCAAGTTCATTTGACATCTCTGGCCCCTGCCTACAGCCCGAGATGTCCAAATGAGAAGCTACGCCGATGTCGACAGAGCTTTCACGACACATACACGCACTTGTCGCTGTACAACTTCCATTTTAATGTGGTTCCCAGTGGTTTTCATTGCCTTTCGATTTGATAATATAGTGAGCGTCAGAAATAAAGCTAATCAATTCCCGCCTTCCAAGCCAAGTTAATGTTAGTTATGAAAAAAAAAATTACAATACAATACAAATTTTGTCTTATCTGACTGAACAGTATAGCAATGATACTACGTGCCCAAAAGTGAAATAATAAAATTAGAAGTAAAAATGCGTGGCAAACGAGATATACACACCTGACTCAGTACGTTTTGAATAAAACACTAAGACAAAACTCGGGCTTTTTTTTTTCTTTTATTACAGCGCTTACTTTTAGGATTTCTTAATTTACTCTCTCTCCCTTTTTTGCGAAAATCAGCTGTCGCTGGGAGGCACGGTCACTGAAATAATTTTTTTTTCACGTTTGATGCGCACAGATGATAACATTGTCAAAAACATTACTCTATGTGCAGTACCTATACAGTACATTTTGAAAAAAAAAAACCAAGTTGATTGGTAAAAATCAGCGATCGAACACCTTTTACGCGCATATCATAGAAAAAAAAAAGAGGCTCGGTCCGAGTGTTGATAATGAATCTCAAAGAAGTGTACCAGATCGAGCAAAGGGCAACAGCGCTGAAAGCAGAGGACGACCGGAGTCGCGTGCTACGTAGGGATCCATACGAAAGGTTTTGCGGCGACATTTCAGAGGGAGTGCAGCCGCACATCAAAGGACGTTCGATCCGCCGGCTTTTCTCGGCAACGGTACGCAGCGCATAATCGCAGAAGCACGCTCGCAATCGAGCGGCCGCCACGGAATGCGTGCGCGAAGCCTCAGACTGCGCGCTTTTATGGTACGCTGCGGACCACGCGGCAAAAAGGAAAAAAAGAAATAAAAAGGAAAAGAAGAAAAAATACACACCACCATACGGCAGGGACCCAGGCCAGCAGCTGTAATGCGTTTCGAGCGGTCGCGATGAAGAAAGAAAGCGAATGAAAAAAAAAAAAAAAAACATCGTACGCAAACCCAATGGAAAACGCTGCTGGCGAAAACGCTCTTGGTCCCGGCGGCGAGCCCTGGGGCCCTATCGTCGCATCTTTGGCCAGCAACGGCCGAGAGAAAATTAGCGAACGCTCGGCCAGTGCGAAAGGGTAGGAACGAGCGGCCTAAAGAGATGAGACCGAGAGATGATTGACGGAGGTTGCGAGGTCTTATTTTTTTTTCTTTCTTTGCGATCGGGTGACCCTGTCAGTGAAGAGATCCATTCGCGCTTGTTCGTGCTAGCGTTAGCGCGTGCATAAAACCAGAGATCGCGCTACGAATCGCCGAGCTCTAAAGTCTTTCGCGACTTGCGCGCAAAGAGCGGTGCAGAAAATATAGAACAGAGCGCGCAACGGGTAAGACGAGCAACAAGTGCCCTCAAGTTGAAAACGGGGGAGGGCGGCCCACTATCCGAAAGCAATCTCAAAAAGAGGCTCGTACCGCTTTCAGCGCCGATATCCTGTCTTTGATCATGACTGATAGTTGTAGTCCGCGCGCTGTCTTCAAGTAATCCACACCACTTGAAACATGAGCTCCGAAAACATCACATTTTTATCAGTGGAGTTCCGCTCGACTGCACGGCAACCATTACCTACGTACAGGAAGTCAACTTTCTTTAAGGATGTGACGTCATGAATAAATTGTGACGTAACGTTATTATTTTGACGAGTTGCAGCGTCATACCTTAGGGCTTCAATTATTCTGTGTTTTTATGCGCCTAATTTTTTTGTGATCGGCTGGTAATTAGCCCGTTTCCCCGCGACCCGTAGTAGCTGCGGATTCGAGCCACTTTACGGCGTATGTTGCAGCATCTCGACACATCAGTTGAAAATGCAGCTGTCGTGCCGACTGACGCGTCAAATGGATGGCCGTATTTCACTCCGTCGTCAGAGCGCTCTTGGAAGGCCGAAAGGCGAGCAAACTGCTAGCATGCACTTGACCCCTATCAAGACTTCGCCTTTCGTAGATTGAAAACGAGTGCTCGTGTCACGAGAGAACATATAGCGCGTGCGAGAGTCGCACATGCGGTCGCTCGAACCACAGGCGTTTCGAAATGCCTTTATCTCGTTATTTTCTACTTGCTGCTCTACTTGCGTTATACACGTTCATTTCAAGCTTCCTTTTATAGCTGAGCGCGCCGTAATCATCGCCCGAAGATGATATAGTGAGAACAAACCTGCAGAGGTGAAGAATGCAGACCACCTCTAATATCCCCTCCCATGGGCACTCTCGATCGTGAAGAAGCCACTACCTCGATAGTGTCTCTAGTGTACAATTAGCGACCCTGCACGTCCAGCACAAGTAATTAAATGTGACCAAATCGAGATCGACAAACTCGATCGCGATAGAAAGTGCTCCGTGCGACACACGTATTCCTTTCACCAATTTTAGTCGATCGAGCCCGATTGAGACCGCAACTCTCGGGTCATGATCCAGGCGGTTTATTTGGCGAAAGATATTAAAAGTAGTCAACCGCGACCGAGAAGTTCGTCCAGCCCAGGCTCGATCGCGATAGTGCTGAGCGCACCGTGGAACAAGTGCCGCCTCCGTGCGCACTGCATACTTTTAGCAAGCATTCAAACAGATGCAGAACCACACCTTTATCTCGCTTAATGCAATTTGGCAATAAGCCTGTTGGTCTGCTCTATTTTTAGATAATGCACCAACAAATCCCTGCAAACCATTCGATCTTGCAAGTGCACGCGCGCTTTACTGCGAGCTGGAACGTTACCGAAACATGGGTGGATACCATTGTATGTTTATGACCGACCAGTGCCACAATTTGGGCATCTTGGCACAACACGATAGTGTGTGCTGAGCTGCGCATAAGACAGGAGGGGATAGAAAAGACGCGTTAGGGCTCTATCCCTTCTATCCCCTCCCGTTGTACGCGCTGCTAAACACTCCAGTGAAGCAAACTTCCATGAAGGAAACGTCTAGACAAATACCTACCATGCACCAGGCTGAATGATGCTAGCAGTCCGATCAACAGCCTTTTGATAGTGCAGCCGAGATGTTTTCTTAAGCATGGCTTACATAGCAGTTTGAATGCCTTCACAGTAATAAGCCACCTGCATTTGTTAGTTTAATTCATATATCAGGTGCCTTGCTCTACTGCAGTAATGGTTACATAGCCTTGCAGCAGTTCGTGTAGCATTCATGTGAATACCTATTGACAAGTGAATGTGAAGCTTAAGGTTCAAACCAAACGGATGCTGTGAAGATGCAGCAAACCGCATTGAACCGTACGTCTGTCGAGCAGCAATTTCCATGAACGTAACGGATGGCAGTTTTAATAGTCTTTATGTTTTTGTTCCTGCAGCATCACAACTTAACATTATTTGTAGAGCAGTCCATCATACCAATTTAACGAAATATATATATCCTAACAAAAAGAAAAAGCAGAACAAGTAGTTTTAAAAATGTCCTCAACCGCAATGACCACGGAAGTGATGTCCGATGCACAACCACTAAGTGATTCCAGACACACACGATGTCGCATGATAAAGGTACTTTTTTTCTCTCTCAGAAAAAAAAAAAAAAAAAACAGAGGTAACAAGACAATTACACTTTGCACGTGAAACATCTGCACTCGGGAACTGTTCTGTGAATGAACGCGGTTCTTAAAATAATGGCCTTAGTGTGCGCACAGGGAGGCTCGTATTCTCCGAACCCTATATTTACAATTCTCGCCCACGCAAGAAAAAAAAAGAAACAGGGGATTTAGAAACAATGAACAAAGAAAGACAATGTACAAGAGAGCACGCTTGCGCGAGGCAAAATAAAGTACAAAGGACGCATCGGAAGAGTTCTTTACCCCTCCTCACCCACACCATTGACGTTGCCTGTGTCCCACAGGGTGAAAGTCCAGGAAAGAAAATAAAGGCGCGCGCTTGCGTGCATGTGTGCCCACAACAGTATACAAATTCTCCTTTTTTTTCTCTCCCCCTTTGTACACAACTTCCCCACACCCCGGGGGCGGCGGGCAGGGAATTGTTTTCGCCGTGGCAGAACAAACTTGAGCTGAGAAGAACCGAGAAAGATGAGGCAGTGAGCGGTCCGTGTGGAGGCAAGCGGCACAACACTCGCGTGTGTTCACAGTGTGTCAGTCCTCGTCTGACAAAGGTTCATACTGGGACGAGAGCAGCACCGAAGAGGAAGAAGACGGCACAGCAGCCGAAGAGGAGGAAGATGAGGAGGTCGGGGCGACCGGGGCCATCGCCAGTGACGAGGGCCCTCCACTACCGCCACTTCCCACGGGGTTGCTCGGAGCCACGGCCATGGATCGCACTGATAGCGCCGAGAATGGGTACGCATACGTCGTTGGGAATGCCTGCGGGGGTGGCGGGTGCGGTGCAGAGTAGAAGCGACTGTCGCGTGGCGGTGACACGGGTTCAAGCTCGCCACGCCGCCCATCGTCGTGGTGCTGCTGCTGGTGGTGGTGCGGCGGTGCGGGTCGGCCGGGAGGGCCCGAGGGCGACACCGACCTGGGACGGAACTTGCCGCCGCGCCAATCTGGGTGGCCAGCCTCGATGGCAGACGCTGGCCTCGGCGGACCCGTCGACGGACTTGGGTGACCCGGGTGCCCACCCTCGCTAAGTGGCCGCTCGGGTGGCTGGTCATGGGCGCTGCCACGGCCACCCTTGTGCGTAGGAGGTTCGTCTGTAGTTCGCATGACCTCGACAATTCGGTTCTTAACATAGTCGAGTGCCGACAGGCCTACATGCTGCTGTTGCTGATGCTGGGGAGAAGGCCGCAGGTAGGAGACGCCGTCTGCCGACGACCTGGGCGGCATAGCTGGGGACCACTCGGGGGGACCCGGAGAGGGCTGGCCAGGTGGGGAGATGGGCTCCACGTAGGGGCCCTGCTGCTGATGCTGCTGTGGGTTTCGGATGAGGCTGCGCTCCTCTTTCTCCGACTGCAGCGCCTTACGCAGCTTCCAGCTGTGGTAAGTCTGTGGCGGTGGGTGACCGTTGTCAGCCCCCTCCGGGGGCGTTCGTGGAGGTGCAGTCATTAGTTCAGACGAAGGTGTGTAGCCACCGTGCGACATGCGCTCTGATGGCACCACATCGGGCATTCGGCCATACAAAGGCCCACTGCCACCGCCGTCACTAGGGTTGCAGATGTTCTTGGAGATGATGGCTGCGATGTGCTGGTTGAGCGTAATGACCTTCTCAGGCTCCATGCGGGGCGGGCCCCGCTCAGGGGGCCCGTCATCAATGGTGACAACCTCATCACGAGAGGGCGGTGCCTTGAGCCGCGGCGGCAGTGACGCCCCCTTAGGCTCACCATACCGCGACAGTATCGTGTCCATGGCACCCGCTGGGTTCTGCTTTGGTTCCGTGCTCTGGTTGATCTGGTGCGTGATAATGGCATCGATGAGGTTTGCAGCCGTGATGCCCTGTGGCTGCGGCTTCGGGCTATCCTTTTGGAAAGACTGAGAAAAGATGCGCGATGCCTCATTGTCCAGCTCTGCCTGCTGCTGCGTTCGGCTCAGGTACTTGGGCTGGTGTTCCTTGGGTGTCTGCTGGCGCATCTCGCGCTCGAACTGCTCTCGCGTAAAAGCATCCCCACGTGGGAGTCGCAACGGCTGCCTGATATCCGCAGGCTCCACACCCCGGCGGGAGTCGAGATAGCGTTGCTCCTCGGCTGCAGCACGCATAGCTGCTCGTTCAGCTTCCCCACGGAAGTCTGACGGCGGCGGCATGTCACCACCTATAAACTGCCGTGGCCGCTGATGCATCTCCAGCAGCGACTTCTCGAGGCCCTCAACGGCGGGCCTTTCACGAGTTTTCTGGTCCTCCTTGGGCACGGCGAGACTCGGCTGCGCGGCGGCTGCATTGACCAATGTTGTGAATGGGTCGTGGCTTGAGGGTGACACAACAGCATACGGCTGCCCACCACCACGCGGTGACTGGACACGCCGCCCACTGGGGCTCTCGAGTTCCGCACGTGGCGAGCCTGCCTTGGGCGCTTGGATTACGCTCTTGGGCCCCGTGCTCCATGGCACACTGCGGATGACATTCTGCCGGGAAGTGGCTGCCGATGAAGGAGGTGTCCCACCGGCTGTTCCCTGGTGCAGTGCCAAAGGCTTGCCAGGGCCGGCCCAGCCACCGGGTGAAGTGTCGGCTGGAGGCGGTCGCTCCACGGCGGCGGATGGTGCATGCTGCAGGAACACTGGTGGTGGAGGTGCTCCTTGTGTGCCATAGTATGCTGGCACCTGGTACACTGGGTGCAGTGCTGGTGCAGGGCTCGAGTCACGCGCCTGCGGCGAAGCTCGAGCAGTCAGCCCGACGAGCCGCGACGCATCTGCATCTGCTTTGAAGTGTTGAAGTCGATCATGATCTGGTTGCTGCTCAGCTGAGATTCACTCGAGTACTTAGGCCGGAAACCAGGCGACGAAGAGTAACCACCTCCGCTGGCAGATGTTGGTGGATGGAATGGGCCCTGGAATCCACCAGGAGCAGCAGCAGCAGCAGCAGCGGCAGCAGCTCTGTAGTACTGCTCTGCCGGGTCATAGGCACGCGACTCAGGACCTTCGGATGGCCTCTGCTTCTTGGGTACACCAGTGTCATGCTGGCACTGGCGTGCCCAGTGTGATCGAACCGGCGGACGATGGCTCCTTGCCCTGTGGTGGTGTCTGTCGCAGAAGCCCCTCATAGCGGGTTGGTTGAAAGCTTCCCACCGCAGGTTGGTTCAGCGGCGTTCCCTGGGTGATTGAACCGGATGGCTTGCTTTCTTTGAACATGAGCTTGGGTGATAGTGGTGGCTTGCTGGCTGCCACCAACGGGGGTGGTGGGGGAACAGAACTCTTTCCAGGCTTTGTGAGGCTGCGTGGTGCAAGCGACTGTGCCACGAGGTGTGGCGGTGGCCGCTCTGGCGGCCCGTACGATCGCTGTGCATACAGAACTTGAGGCGAGGGATCAGGCGTTCTCCGCAGGTGGTTCGAGTGTGCAGGGGGTGGCTGGGCTGCCGCTATATAGGACTGTGCCGAGTAGGCCGTAGCAAAGGGTGCTGGTGGCAGCTTCTCGCGACGAAGTTCCCGAGGTGGACTGGGCTCCCGTGATGACTTCTTGCTCAGGTCTTGCACCTCATACTCATCGTCCCGAGACACCGCAATAATAGAGGGGTGGGGCAGCCACGTGGGGGACGTGGGGAAACTGCGCCACGAGGCCCTCTGCATGCGCTAGACTGTTGGGAGCGCTGGCCAGGTGGTACGACGAGGACCGGGGCACTGGTTCTGGAGCAACGGTAGAGGAGGAAGGCGGAGGTGCGGGCCCTTCAGGGGAGCATTCCTTGGTCGGTGGTCCATTGCGGCCAGGCTTCATAGAGTACTGCAGGGTCATTTCGATGGCCTGGAAGATCAGGTCGCGCATGCAGGTGGCACCCTCGTGGCTAGCTTCTTTTACATCAGCTGGACCGCCGCTCCGGTGGTGCCTCGATGACCCTTCTGCCTCGGGCGCCCCCTGGCCCTCGTCGGCACTGACTGTCGCACTGCTGTCGTAGTCGGCGGACGCCTCGAGGCCATTGTTTAGATCCGCCGGTCCCTTGGGAGTCATGTCTCCGTGGTGAGGTGGTGCCGATGACACGGCTAGCGTTGGTCGAATAGGTATTGGCTTGTCGCACTCCCAGCCTGAAACTGAAAAGATGCAGTACGTGTAGATGGCAATCTTGAGAATAAATAGCAATGCACGCTAGCAATGAACAATAGTCTGCTGTACAGTAGGGTAGCCAAAGCTATGAGCGTTACTGCAGCCATCCCAAAATATTTTAGTCAGCTACATATAACGACCTATAACTCTGAACACAACAAACAGTACCAATGCAGCATCTGGATGAGACATGTTCACTTCACAACCCAAATGCAAGTTTCAAAAATATATTTTGCCATTCTTCACTACTGTGTACAGTAAAAGCTGGTGACATGTCCCCCCCCCCCCCCCCCCCCCAAAAAAAAAACTGAAAATAAACATGCAATCCTGTAGATATACCATTTGTATCTAGTAAATGTTCAGGCTCATAAGCCTGTATTGATATGCAAGGGCAAAAACATTAATTTTTCAAAAGAGAGACCAAATTTTGATTTTGGAACTTCAGGTGTCCCACAAGCAGCCAGAGGTCAGGCAGCTACTCTGAAACATCATTACAAAGTTGCACCTTACACAAAAAGTAGGTTCGTAATATCCACAAATTCGTTATAAAGGTATATTCCTAACACTACATTGCAAGACTACTGTTCATTCACTTCGTTATAACCAATATTTCTCGATATCTGGGCGCTTTTTATCGAGGCTTGAATGTAGTTACGATCTCGACCGGAAGCAACGTCCATTTTTGATGCACACCTAATGTCCTAAGAGAACCAAATATAGCAAAATAGAATGCTGCAACAAACGCAAACAAAGATACGCTACCGCTGTGGCAAAAAACTAAACCTCGTGCCGCATGAGCATCAGTTCTTTCTGTACTGCCGCTTGGAAATATGCGGCTAGATTTGCCGAAGAGCATAAGCGATATTCTCGAACATAAGCATTTGGGGTACGAATGCATACGTCTCTATAATCACGCACAACTCTCATTGTCCGTGACGAAAACTGCCGTCCCACTAATGGCTCAACAGGCTCAATTCTGTGCAGTGCACATAACAGTCACTGCAGAACAGAATATGCGGAATTTCATAAGTGATGAGCGTCCCCGAAGACAACAGCTGCTCACAGCTATAGTTCAGTATGTTCAATGATCAGTTCGCATTCTGTCCAACTTTAGACATACGGTGGTATGTTCACCGCTACTTGTATCGCACCATCTCGCACGGCGCCATGGGCTTTAAAGTAATGCCAGGCATAATGGCCACTGAAGGTGAAGTCTTCAAGCACCTACATTGCGATCGGTTGTGTCACTGCATTGCAATCTAGCCAGCGCGATCTATTGAATAGAAGTACAGTGAACTCCCTTTAAGACGAACTCGAAGGGACAAGGAAGAATTGTTCGTCTTATCAGATGTTCGTCTTATCAGAAGCACCCTCGAAAAAAGAGTTTGCTACATACCTAGGTGCATGCAAATATCTTAGTTCAAACCAAACTGTACAAGTACACTTACAGAAAAAGGAAAAAAGACACAAAAATAATTTATTTGAGGGAGTAACCTGATAGGCAACTGCGTTCAAGTGCTCTTGCTCGGCTTGATCCAGTCCATAATGGACGTCTGTCGCTGTTGTGCACATCGGCGAGCAGCCACAAATGACGCCATATCTCCTAGTGATCTCAAAAACACTTCAGTTCCTTCATGCTGCTCAAAATAGTTCCTTAACAAACTAATGTAGAGATCTGCAGCATCACTGCAGCGTCATTTGCCACTGGCGCAGGCCCCATGCTGGCATCTTCGTCATCCTCCGACGTCACCTCCGAAGGAACCTCCAGAACCTCATCAATCAATGTGTCCTCCCTGCAGGTTGGCACATCTTCATCGACAGTGACATAACTGTTTATGTCCACAACGAGTCCTTTATTGCCTAGCGAGACGAGTTGTACAGTTGGCTTGCTGGCCATTTTCAACGAGACAAGCGAAGCAAACAAAGCGCATGGAATAGAAAACGTGCGATCGCAGGCTCGGCGCAGAGAAAAAACTCGTTTCCTCGGCGATGGCGGCGGCAGCGACGGCGAGGTCGGAGAGGGAGAACATCCACGTGGAGAGAGCTGTGGCTGTACGCCGCGAGCTGACATGTTCCTGCTGAGAAACGGCATTGGTCATGAGAGCTGCTCTTTTTGCGAATAGGGAGTCTCGGTCGTCATTTTTTTTTCTCCTGCTTGCTTCTTCGCGGCCGATAGCCGATCTTAAAACTCTCTCGCCCTCTCATTTTCTTCTTGTTTGCTTTGCCGCTCGCTCTGTGGGTCGAAGTGCGGGTGATGTCGCGGGCCATTCTTTTGTCGCTGCCTCCCACCCTCCGCCGTGGCGCGAATTCGCTTCGCGCTGTTGCTGCTTTTATATTTTCTTTCCCTCCGGCCGCGGGAATGCCCCCCCAAGATTGCCATAATTCCTCTGTAGAATCGCCTCGGTCTCCCGGTCTCCGCGAAAGTGTTTGTCTTAACAGAAGAGCAGGTGTAAGGCTGTTCGTCTTAAGCGGATTTTTTTTTGCATTGGGTCTATGGAAAACCAAACAAACGTTCTCACGTTGTTCGGCGTAAGCGAGAATTCGTCTTAAACGAGTTCGCCTTAACAGGAGTTCACTGTATATTGAAAGCTCACCGGGACACTGCACTGTGAACTGAAGAATAACATCTGTTTTTAAAACACCGAAATGCGCTCTTGGGCCTACACATGGCTACCCATATCGAGACTTCCAGGGTGCAGCAGCCTTACCTTCGTCCATCTGCTTGCCCGATGGACTGCAGGCACTTGCCGTGTCGCTACTACAGTGATCTGCCCCATTGTCCTCCTCGCAGCTTGTCGTCGTCTCGCCGCTGTCTTCGTCATCACTCACTTGCCGCTTGCCATCGTCCTTACCGCCTTGAGCCTGCAAGCAAGACAACTAGGAGTGAATCTACAAGTCATGATTAACTATCCACTGCATCAGTACCACACACACCCACACCGTGCTCAAACTCGCTGCAACACCCTAAACTGAGCGAGATTTCAGTCTAGCAATCCTACACAACAATGCAATCTGGTACATGTTCACACACACACACACAAATGGAAGAGATAGCACTGTATCTCGACCTATTTCACAGCTTTGATTGCGCTGCATCTAGAGCACACAGCCACTGCTAAAAATAAAAGGACATGCTACTTGGCACTGCTGCAGAAACATCTGCATCACACGGTCCTGCAACATGGTAGTGCTCTCAAGATGTGGCCTGCCCTCCCTTGTTCAGGATGACATTTGAACTACCAGCGCTTTGCACAGCCAATGCTATAGTTTACACAATAATGTGCAATCTAGGCAACCAGCTGTCAATTGCAACAATAAACTAGGTGCCAAGCATTGCGAACTCATTTCTTTTGTCATAAATGTTGTGAACAATGTTTTGATTTTGCATACCACTGCACTCTACTGGCAATTTTCTAGGGAGACAAAAAAAAAAAAAAAAAAAACCCAAGCAGTAGAATCGGACAAAACCTGAAATCGTTTGCATTAAAGCAGTCACTTTCTTGCATAATAATCCTCCTTGGGCTAGCCGAAAACATGCTTTTGGTGAGAGATAATGCACGTTGAATTCGCTGTCCTCTAAGCTCTACCACAAAAGACTGTGCTGCTACTAAGATCAGATGAGTTTGTATTGACCAGTCAATTAGAATTATGAAGGGCAAACCCTAGAATCCAAACACAGTAGACTCTCAGTAAATCGAAATCTATTAAACGGAACTACTGCTTAAACAAAACTATTGCCTCTGAAATACTTGGTTTTAGGCTTGTATTCTGCACCCATGTTCATCTCTCAGTAAACGGAACTCCTGTTTTCCTTATTTTTCCAGCCCCTTTCAGGTTTTGTTTACCGAGAGGTTGCTGTACCAGACATTCAAGGCCCACTGAAATGTATGGAAGAAAGTTACTTGGATTCTTCGGTTGTTATCAAATAAACTGAAGTTTACTAAGCAGTAGTAGAGCTCAATAATATTCCAGCACAGAGAAACTCTGGTGGAGAAAGGCAGTTTTTCCCTACCTTAGTGATACTCAGAATTTCAATGTGGTTGTTCATCAGCCAATCCAAATCCAGCCTGTCGATAACATCACTTTTCAGAGAATGCAAATAAAGAAAAGAATCTGAAAAGTTATCCCAAAAATTATCTGAAGAATGAAATGATGATAAGATAGGTGCAACCATATCATCATAACAGTCTGGCTTTCAATAACTACGCAGAAGTGATTTCTGCAAAGCTTGCCACATCATTGTTGTAAAGCTTAAGCGATGTCGCTGAGACACTGTCGTGTGTGCACAAATGTGAAATCTCACAGCCTAACAGCTATTTTTTCATCCACATTTGTATCCCAAGCAGCCTACCCACAAGCACACTGAACAAAATCGGGCACCCTAACAAAAGCAACACTGGCTAAAATTCACAAGGGTGAGAAACTCTCGCCGGAACCCGTTGCATCCCATCTTCGAAGAATGCATCCAGCACCAAACACGACACAGTGGTGAACCCGAGCTGCCGCCACACACGCATAGACGCGACACGGCAGCAGCGCCGAGCCACACGCACCTCGCGGAACGTCCGCACTATCTCGTCGAGCCCCAGCTTGCGTTTGTAGTTGAAGTAGAAGTTTCGGCACTGCTCCTTGGACTTGCTCTGGACGACCGATGCCACGGCCGGCCAGTCCGTACCGTACTCCCGAAGGCCCCGCTTGGCCATCTCCATCTCTTCCTCGGTCCACCGGGAGCTGTCCCCGCCATCTGCACATGGCACAAAACAACATGTATCAGCTCTCTCTCTCTCTCTCACACACACACGCACACACACACACACACACCAACTTTGGCAAGGAAGGAATGGGAGAGAGAAATGGAAACGACCAGTCAGTTTACTGCAGTAGCAGGCATGCCTCAGGTCAAATGTGACGCGGTTATTGCCACCATTGAAACAGGACATATGTTGCGTCTTCTTCTTTGTCCTTACGCATTTCACGTTGCTTACTGTTACTAACACTAAGCGGGCACAACCGCAAGAAATAACAGCATCTCCATTGTAATATGTTCGCAAGAACAGTATTACAAAAAATTACAGAAAGAACCACTAAAGTGGGCTGCTTCAGTCATACTGAAAACACATCTTTCTTAATTGTTGCGTCCAAAGTTCTAGCAAGTGCTCTATACAACTAAGACTGGGATTGATTTAATCTTCACTGAAATCACAGTGCAAGAACCATCCCCCTTCGTGGCCCCGGCAAGCCTCCGTGAGGTCAGCGGACTTCTGGTAGTGTTCGTTAAGGTAACTGCACTACACACAAAAGACACCGGCGACTCTAGTGCCCCACACGAGCTTACGTACAGAAGGCATGCATACCAAACGATGGCCAAGGCCCACAACGCATGCTCAAATGCTGTCGACAAGGTCAGTTACACATTGGTTCTGACTGAAGGCACATCGTCCGCACTACGCTGCCCTTCATGGAGTGAACAAAATATGAGAGGAAAGCTTGCCAAGCAGCTGTGTAGCTTGTTTTCCGTGGAAATCAATTGTACACAGGACTCCCTCGTGTTTACCAAGAGGGCAGCCAATCATACACCCCAAAAGCCTGGCTTATCGGTATCGGTCTAGATTACAACAGCTCTTGAGGAAAGAGGCACCACAACAGTCACTGTCTGCTCCGAAGCTGTACTGATAATTAAGAAGCTTCAAAAATATCAACAGTGTTAGGGGGAAACATTGTTTTGACATGAAAATACTTTCCCTTGCATATCTGAAGTTTGAAAGCAGCCGGAAGGTTAGTAACGCTAATCTTAATTCTAAGTGTGCACAGACGAGATAAGCTACTTACCCCCTCCCCACCATAAAACATACTCTGGAAGCAAACCACGCAGCAAACAGAAGGCCAAATTTATAGACACCATGCCACGTCTACTACGACAGACTAAGTCTGCAAAAGCAGCGATAAAATGCTTGCTTGAAAAGATTAAATTTCCTTTTTCAGCGCTTGAAAAATATACATTTGAAGTCTGATACTACGAGTGGCAGCTGAACAGACATCGTTCAGAGGAGTACGTAATCACATTTCATGTTGTGACATTTGCACATCACCCTCTGCACTGAACTGCCAATAACACTTTTTTACAGGAAGCTAATAGTTATCCAGTCACATAGTTTCAAACTTGTTCATAAGAGACAGGCAAAGGGCAGAAGTTCTTGCCCTTTGTCTTGAAGGCATTTCTTAAAGGCAAAGTATAATTTTGTCATTTTATGATAAACCCGTTTCCATGTAGCACACAGATGTCTTAAGACACAGTTGTTGCTCACATCAGCACCTCTTATAAATGGTTTGAACTGTAGTACACACACACCTGAAGGAAAATGAGTATTTTTATTATGATCCAAGAACTTAACATTTTTATGAATCATCCCTTAATATCCCATATTTGGTTTGAAGTCAGAGTAAACTGTAGCAGAATTTCAATACTAAAATGTGCAAACTATAAGCAGTAACACAAACCTGTGCAACATGCTCAAAAACTTTCAGAAAAAATATATTGAACTGAAGGCAATTACATACACTGTCGTTCTTTATGAAAAAGAACACGCGATCGCGTGACCTGCTTTCTGAAATGGCTGCCTACAGTATATTGTAATGCTTGTCCAGCTGCCATAACTCATTGTTTTGTTTGCCAATAGACGACGCCAAAAGCCAACGTTTTTTCCTTTTGTTGTCGGTAGGTGATGGCCCTGTAGGCAGCTGCCGCAGAGTGCAGGCTACATGCTCACGCATTGCCTTTCATAAAGGACAACAGTGTACATTTAACTTCAAAGTGAGACTTTGCAGCAGTGCAGATTTTCCCTCAATAAATGATTTCACAGCATAGTGGTCTCATACTACTGTAGACCCATATAGGAAGGGTGATACAGAAGGTAATGCAGTCGGACCCCTTTATAAGCGGCATTGATATAAAGAGACAAATGGGCATAAGTAATACCAATGAGCCTAGAGTAAAATACGGGTCGGTAAGAAAATGCATAGGTACCCTGTTTATACTAGAAATTTCACATAAAAGACGAACTGCTGCCCAGAACATGCCTCTTATAAAGGAGTTGTACTTTGAACTTTGGGAAAATTCGAAAGTCTGGTCAAAGCAAATCTGATGACTTTAATATTCGTTCAAATACACTCAAACCTCGCAACGAAATTGCATCTTACATGTAAATAAGTTCGACGTATCCAAAAATTCATTATTAGGTACATTTTGAACACTTATGTCTATCGCGAGACTATGCTTGATTTTCTTTATTATAACCAATTCTCGTTACATCCAGTTTCGTTATTTCGGCGTTTGGGTGTATTAGAGGAGCTTGTATATGTGCTCAGGCCTAATAGCAATGAGTAGCTGCAAACCATATCAAGCAAACTTTTGGATCCGCCCTTTATGGGCAGGTCTCCACAAGGGCTCACGGAAGCTGTAGAACAACATGCAGGTTGAGTGCAAGAACAACTCCCTTACCCTCCGACGGAGGATGAGGGTCCAGCTTTCTCGTTATCCTGTTGAAGCACGCCGAGCAGCACTTCTGAATCCCCGCTGGGATCTCTGTAAAAAATCAAACAAAAGCGAGCTTGTAAAACTGTGCAATGTGAGGTAGCCGGCACACCGCTTTGAACTATGCTTACCCGGAACGAGCTGAAAGGAGCAAGTGTGAGACTCACCATTAATCACTTCTTCAAATTGCACCACATTGTGAAGTGAATTATTATGCTAGAAGCAATGTTAGAATTTTACTCATTTAGTATGTTGCCTTGCTATAATGTGTCCTTAGCTCCATCCTCACATACTAATAAATCTTGCACCATCCACGTGCTGTGCAACAGCAGTCAGGAGAGCTCTTTCCACGGACAGTAATACTAGCGTGTCTTGCAGTTGCATCATCCAAAGCTTGATTTTATAAAATCTTACCAGTAGTTGCAGACCACACGATAAAAAAATTGAGAGGCACATATGTGCTTTTGCTCGTTGCTTGCACTTAGGGATCACCCACATATGGTAATTAACATAAATGAGGGAACATAATATTCCCTTAATGGACTTCATTTTCACTACGAACAGAGCCGTGCTTTATACATCCACGTGAACTACCATTTTTCCTGAAAAATACTACGCCAGAGGCACTTGAGAATGTTTAAATTGGACACAAGATCGACTCAACACTTGAGTATTTTTTCCTCGATCCCTAGATCCGCAAAGTCCTTGAGCGCCAAATCTTCCATGAAGTGTCGTGCACTTTCTTTAAAACGAAGAGAATTCCAAGGCAGTTAAGACTGCTCAAAGGACATTAGTATCTCTCACACTCCAATCACCCATGAACCTAACTGACTCACGTGACAAGCTTTTAGCCAAGATGGAGGTAGACTCAGAAGATGATAAACAACCAGGGCTATGTACTATGGTTCATGTGTGCGTGCTCTGGGTAACACACATCTAAATGTGAACGAAAATGTGCAGAAGGAAACGTACGCAGTTCCTTGCTAATAGACTCCTTGAGGTCGTTATCCAACTCTGTCCACTTTGCTGGTAGTGGCCGTAACCTCTTCATCTTGCGCTTGGGTGTTTTGCACGTTGGTATCGGGCACCTGCACAGTGCACAAAAGCAGAGCTCGCACTCAGGGGAGGGCTTAGTACTCGTGCCAAAACAGGCACAAAAGAAAAGCCCACCAACTGTTTGGCAGCCGTGCAAAGCCACCACCCTCAAAACCGACCAATGCAGTAAAAGCACTTGCAGCAGTTTACAAACAACATGACAACAAGGCGGCACAGAGCACAGATCAGTTGAAACTCCACAGGAAGGGCACTTGCTCAAAGTTGGTTTCGTTCTGGCAGCCCAGAAGCTGCCACTGCTTGATGTGTTATTTGACTAAAGGTATCTTTACAATCAACTGGGTGTTGACAATTACAGAACAAGTGATGTGTAACTCAACACATGCAGTTTAACCAAAAATCTACTTGGTAGCGCTATTTTAAACCACAAAGGCTGTCTACACTCCTTCCCTTGAAGCTTCGAAAACAACAAAGCAAAGCTTTCAGATCAATTCATACATAAAAACTGAAAACTTGAACTGGCAAGCTTGCATGGGTCACCACAAATGTGAGGACAATGTAAAAATGCCGACCCTCTCCTGCAAATCACTTTCTTCCTTGAATAAAGCAGAACACTTATTAAAAAGAAGTCTCCCCCCCCCCCCCCCCCCATGAAAATAATTCTTGTTTTGCTCCAACCACCCAAAGCAGACTATTAGACTCCGCATTGCACAGCTAAGAAAGGAGCGGCCAGGGAAGTGTTGAGATTTTGAGGCATCCAGGAAGCAAGCAGGAAGGAAAAGAGGTTGAACGTACTGGACGTATCGCTGGCGCACGGTTTTGAACCGGCAGCTGACGCAAACAGCGAGCATCCGGCACCAGGTCCGTGTCCTTGAGACCATACATGTGACAGTTTGCCTTGGTTAGGGGTCGCCACTGGCCACTCTTCTCCAGGCGGGAGCGGCACACCATGCACGGCGGTCCAGTTTCCCCTCCTCGGTCTGCACAGCAACGAGGCCCACTCATCAACATTCCCCACCACACTGCAGATTGCTCTCAGGGCTGTAAGTGTATAGTGCTCCGCAATCTTTTCTCACATATGTGAACCCCATAGAACTACAATGCATTGCTCGGTGAACAGTTGTTCGACAAGGCTATGCTTAACCTCGTACTTCAGGTGCAGCGCTGCAGGTAGCTTTGCAAGAAGTTTAGTCAGCCAAATCTGCAAGTCCACGTGTTTTGTGTCTGGAATTAGTCGTCAACTCTCAATGCAGACACAGTGCACAGCCACCGCGATCAGCTCCTTCAGCTGTACGCTACTGGCACTGATCACGGAGGTCACAATACAGACAAAAAAGGGCCCTAAGCTATCTAGGACTACCTTAGACACTATCAAAGTACAGCGTCTTCATTCGTTACTCAGTTGAAAAGGGGCAAAAAAAAAAAAAAACAGAGAGAGAGAGAAAGATAAATCCCACTGTGGCTCGGAAAATCGGAGAACCATTTTCTTAGAGTGAATGATTCCACTGACAGAAGTGTCACTAGCTTCCACAGCGTTGCCCCTGATGTATTAAAGGAAGTCTACACATGCCATCAATCACAACCACGACGACTTCGTTTCCTTTGTCGTAATGATCACTGGCGTCACAGTGCAAGTGTATGAGCAGAACTAATACATAGCACCCAGATAAAAAGGTTAAGTTGAGCGAGTCAACATATGCACAAACCTTTATTCTCCATTGAAGAGGCTATACTGGCTTCGGGAACTTTCTCCAATAGAGGCGTCTTCAAACTGCAAAAGTGGACAACAGCATATTATAACTTCTATGGCAACTACCACAAGCATGCTGAAACACCCAGGAAAATATGCCGCATTGCAAAGTTCCTTTCAAGAGCTTCTAGTGAAATCTGCCAAGGTCAAAATCAGGACACCAGCATGGCACTGAAATGGTTGGCTATAACAACAGTGGGTCGGAAGTATTTTGCAACAGGAAATTTTATTTTCCAGGCCACTTTGATGATGATGGTAGTGATAGATTTTATTGGTGCAAGGGCAACCCAGGCCAAAGAGCATCAAACAGTGAGAAGTTGGTCAACTCCGTTACATAGATATATATACTATATTTACTCGCATAATCCTAGCACTTTTTTTTTCTTCACAAGTAGAGGCGTGGCTGTGTGGTAGAACACCCGCTTGCCACGCAAACAACCCAGGTTTGATTCCCACTCAGACCCGGAATTTTCATTATTCATTTTATTTGCATCATTTACGATTTTTCAGTCACGCAACGACAGCCGATTTTTCAGTCATGCAAGGACGACTTCTCACTCACAACTACTGACGCCGGAATTTCTGCGAAATGAGCTCTTGGACACCATTGCGTTAAAAACCCAAGTTTATAAATGTGGACAACAAACTATCAGCAGTTCCAGAAGAACACACACACTAGACTTAAGGGGGGAGGCTACACTTGATGGGCAACTTCTTCATGTATAGGTCTGAACGAAATTTTCTTAGTTTGTGTATTTAGATGTGCAGATTCTAAAAATGTAAATACTTTTTTGATAGGTCAAATAGTTACCATGATACTCCACAATCAATGTAAAACCTGGGCCCTTTGTTTTCAGCCTAATTAGCATCTAAGCAGGAAGCACCAATACATTGGCGACATCACAGACACAATGTAGGATGTTTAAGGAGTGCAATATGCTATAAATCCACTTGCTGGGCTAATTTCAACAAGAGTTAGAGGACATCAATGTTCAGAGAAAAAAAAAAAAGCCACCTTCACCTGTCACGCATGTGACCCAATTAAAAAAATTTTACCGGTATATTGCCTTCAGTATAAGCACAGTGCATACTGCATGCATTTATCTTTCTGGCAAAAAAGGAATTATGCCGATAGCTCGAATGGAACAGAAGTTATTTTCCCTCCAACTTGGCAAATGTGCCAAAATTGATGTTTTGAGATGAGGAAGAACGATTCAAAACACCTTTATTGAAAAAATACTTGTAAAATCTCATGAAAATGCACCAAGGGCATAATCTGGATGCACCTCATCCTTATGCTTCTTCTTGATCAGCTTTCTCAGACTTTGGGGCGCTTCCCTCTATTTGAGGTTTCACTCTGACGATAGCCCTGCTCCCTAGCCCTCAGGGATGTGCTGCTGAATATCGTTATGTCCAGCTGCTCTAGAATTGCAGCAAATGTACCGACATTGCCCATGTTGAAGCACAGCCCAGCTTCTGCAACAGCAGCTTGCACAGCAAAAAGAGAAGCGTGCTGCTCCTTTGATACCAAACTCGAAATCACGGATTGGAGGCTTTCGTATGAATTCCGAGTCTTGCCTTTTGACTCCAAAAAGCGCTCAATTTTTCGCGCTGTTGCCAACACCGCCGAAAGACCCTCAAGCGTCGTGGTTGTCTTACAGGCGCGCGCGTCGCGAAGTTCACTGACATAGATCACATCAGCGTCTAACCGCACACGGCCGGAGTCGACATAGCATGCGCTATCAGAGAAACTTCCCCGTTGCCGATAGCATCGGTGCAGTCATAATTCACAGAGCGTCCACTATCCGGGGAAGCAGTCTCGCACACTCGTCCATTGATAACATCTTCAGCACACCGGTGGCCAGCGTCCACGCCGCACACGCAAGAGGAACCGTCTTTGATTACGACGGCGTTATCAAACAACCTTGGCGCTTGCTCCCGCGACACAGTAGCAGCAGCATTGGGCTTTCGGCCTTTCTTTTGTGAACGGCGAAAATGATGCTGTGATCGGAACTTTTTCGCGTTGCCGGGCATAGCGAGACGCACAACCACGTTAGGGGTGCGAGTCAAAACACCGTCGCAAAGGCGGCAAAATGGTGGCAGACACTGCCAGTGAGTTTTCCTAGTCAATCAGAAAGCGCCATTTTGGTCTTGGCGTCAAAATGGCGGCAGACACTGCCAGCGAGTTTTCTGCCAGCGAGTTTTCCTGGTCAATCAGAAAGCGCCATTTTGGTCTCAGCGTCAAGCAACCAATGGAATCACGCGCTGTGTGTGATTTTGACTTCCGACTTTTTGCTTTTGTGAGGGGCACATAGTTGTCTTCTGGAAAAAAAAAAAAAAAGCTATAAACGCAACCTTTCTAACAAGACCAAAATGGCGCTGGTAGAGCACGTAGTTCGCGTCGGTGGTTGAAGTATGGCTAGTTTACACTACGATTTAAAGATCCACTTGTGCGATGTTGCTCTCGTTATGGGTTACAACATGAGAAATAACTGGAATTTCGAAGCCAAACTAATCTGATAGGTATGGAAGGGCATCGAGAACGCGACAATGATGAGAGAGAGAGAAAATGCAATTTTCGGGCCAATTTTCGACTTCTAAGTGCCACGTCCCCCATTAAAGAAAGCGATCTGTATGCTCACCCATTAATGGTGTCCACAATGCACGGTGGCTTGCTGGCTTCCTCGCCAATGGGACCATTGGCCTGAGGCTGCTGCGATGGAGGCGGCGTGGCGGCGGACGCCTGGCATGGAGACCCGCCTCGCGACGCTGCCGCCAAGGTTGGTGCAGCTTTGTCTTCACTTTGGCCACTGCCTTCCATCGCAGAAGCAGTGGCGGCTGCAGTTGTAGTGGTGGCAGGGGCGGCGGCGGTGGTAATGGTGGTCGCCGCCGTGGCCGTAGTGGCGCTAGATGTTGCCGTAACCGTGGTCGTCGTCGTGCTAGTCGTGCTGGTGGCTGTCACAGAACTGGCAGCGGTCGTGGTGGTCGTGGAGGTGGCGGTGGTGGTGCTGCCAGCGCTGCTCGAGGGCAGAGGGTTGCGCACAGGCAATGAGCTCGTCACCGGTTGGGGCTGAGAGGCAGGTGGAACGGGAGCCTTCACCATGGCTCTTGTGCGTTTCTTGACGTTGTGCTTCCGCAGCAGCTGCTTGTAGTTCTCACTTTTTTTGGTCAGGTAGTAATACTGGACGCAATCTGCTACACTCTGCGCATGCAGAAAACCAAAGCCAAAGCTCAGAACGCAATCCACTGACAACCGCACTTTAACAACACAACAATTAAGAAACTGCAAAGATAGCGTACTCTGCTGATACACCCCCATCTCATCTAATTTATCCTATTTGCACGTTACACTGATGAACTAAATACTGCTAAAGGCGCGGGTTGTGAATATAAACTCTTTAACCGCACTTTAACAACACAACAATTAAGAAACTGCAAAGATAGCGTACTCTGCTGATACACCCCCATCTCATCTAATTTATCCTATTTGCACGTTACACTGATGAACTAAATACTGCTAAAGGCGCGGGTTGTGAATATAAACTCTTTGTTAGGCAAACTTGTGGTCAGACGACACAAGCGATAACTGCAACAATATGCTGGAAATTCTACACATGAGCATACTGCACAAAGTGGTAAAAGGTCGCTGGGCTTAGCACTAACCAGCACGAATGGTACTCGCTCAGTGGGCACAGCCCCCCCCCCAGCTCACCTTCCTCTCCAGGTGGGAGGCGATGACGCCGAAGTTCTTGGGGTGCTGGAGGTACTTCTCCCGGAAGATCTCCTTCTCCTGCTCGGTCCAGATGTTGTTCAACTGGCGGTCTTTGTACTCGGCCGACAGGTCCTCCACCAGGCTGTTGCGGTTCAGGTAGCGTGGACGCCGCGATCGCACGTCCACCAGGATCGGTGGCACCACTGCGTAGCTGCGCATCTTGCGATCCTCGTTCTGCATACACCACCGCGCCAAACGTTGTCAACTGTTGGGCATGTTGCCACAGTTGCCGGAAAGCAAGAAGCCAAAGAACAACTGGTGACAGGCAGACTTTTCTATCAAAGCGAGCAATAATGTCGATCCCGCCACACTCGTCGTTGGCTTTCCTTGGGAGCTCGGAGAAGATGCAAAACTGAACCGCAATATAAACTGCATGTTTCAAATGCACCTTTTCATATTTCAAGCAGTTCTGTCCTCAGGCAAAATTGTGTCCCCAAGAACTTGGGGGTTAGCATGACTATTAACGAAGTGCCCTGCAAAAACAGTGTTGCTTCCAAGCACAAAAGGCCATAGCACTTGTCTCAACAATTTACAAATAACGACATTTCTGTCTCAGTGTGGCAAATGCGGCCCTTCCCTGCAGCGGTTCTATTGTAGAATGTGCCCACCTCCTGCTCCTGGAGCCCGTCCATGATCTCCTCCAATTCGGCTTCACTGCGCACCCGCTGGCCTGCCCGCGAGAAACGCTCCCGGTCCTCCCGCTGCTTCTTCAGCTCGGGAAACTGCTTCTCAAAGAATTCACGCTGCTTCTGGTCCTTGGCTCTGCATTTCGAAAATAAAACACCGCCACTTGTACCGCCATCCACCCTTTCTCTGTGTAAATCGTTGTGGACAGCTTTCAGCATCAACTTTCAAACACCAGTGAAGAGTTCTTCATACACAACAGACCGCTCTGTGAACAACAAAGATCTCCATGCACTAACCGAAGCATCACTAAACTTTCCAAAAACAAGCTGTCTAAAAGAGCGTCAAATGAGCAAAAATGTGTTCGAACACCCTGCAGTTACCTTTTTTCTCTTCCTCTCTAATCTGTGTTAGCTTTTGCAAATTTAACTAGAGACTGCGTCTGTACATGCACACTAACGGCCAAACTTGGTTCCAAGGAGAAAACCACGCTAACAGCCAAACTTAAGTCCAAGGAGAAAACAAGACCAGAAAAAAAAAATAAAATAAAGAGCAAACAGACAACAAAACAGAAAGCTGGGAGAATTGGTATGTATTAATTCTTACTGGAGAGAGAGCGTACAGACAACGGGACCGAAAGAGAGACAAACACGACGCGAGCGCTCGAGCAAGCTGGCAGCAGAAGCACTCACTTTCGTGCAGCGTTGTTTTCCCTCTTGTCCATTTTTTTCAGCCATGCCTGCATGAGCTGATTATAAGTATCCGTTAAGTATTTTTCCTGCAAAGAGAAAGTGAGGCCAGCCGCGTTAGGAGCCCCGACCGTCACAGGATGCTGCGGAGCACACACACCTCGAGGTCAACCTTTTGGCCACATACGAGGCCTCTGAGGCCAACCCCAAAGTGCGCTAGAGATCAGCTGCAACTTGCTTACCCTTGCTTCTCGTTCTTGTGCTCTTCTTTTAAAATATATCATCAAACTTTTCCTAAATTCGTGGAATCTGTAAAGATGTAACGAAAGAAATGTACTTAGACGTCCTGTAAAGAAAACACTAACCGAAATTTAATTGAACCACAGACAATGTATCAAGTGCGACTAATACAACCTTATGAGCATAGACAAGCAAAAGAACCAATAAGACTGCAGGGAATGCTTTATGTATTACTGCCCATCTACTATGCATGCTGTGACACTTTCTGGGCACACTATTCTTTTTTCCCAGAAATCAGCCACATTTTTGTTCAGAGTTACTTTACACCAGAGCCAATGTAAACAACTTTCAGTTACTGAGTTAGTGCAACATCAAAAGTTCCATTTCAAAGACAGCGATGGGAAAAAAAGAAGATGATACCACTTACTTTTTCTTGTTTTCATGGTATATGGCAGTGTCAGAAGGTTGATTGTACATTGGCTACAAAGGGAAACAATAAAATGCCACATTCACGTACACTGAAAGTTGAAGCAAAGAACTTGCAAATAATCGCAGGCAAAAGAATAGAGCGTCACTCACCAAATCCACTTTCGGGCCTAGATTATCGAGAGTGGCATGGGCAAGTTGTGCTTTTTTCTGCAGATTAGGAAAGGGTGGACAGAGGGGGAACAAAGTAACGCAAGTCAGTGAAGTCTGCATTGTTCTAACACACCAGAAAAAAATGGGAAAATATCCACATGGCTAAAGACGGTTCTCCAACACCAAATGCACAGAACCGCAGAAGAGGGATTGAGATTACAAGTTTCCAATAATCCAGTGTCATTGAACACGTGTCCAAGAGGTGTCCATCAATCCAGTAGCCTCACATCCCCACCACCTATTAGACATCGACGATCCAATGACGCTAGTTCTGCCATTAATTTGTGTTTCACCAAACAAGAGTTGGCCATCCTCCTGTCATTTAATGTGTGGCAATGACACACAGCTCCTAACGAAAGTTATGACAGCCTCACACAGCCTTGACACCACAGTAAGTTTTGGGGAGTAGTACGACATGTTGCCACAAGCAAATGCAGGCAAGCACAAATGCCGTCACTTCTGCATCATTAGACAATGCCAAGGTGTATCTGATAACTTAAAAAAAAAAATGTTGAGAAATACGCACCCTATTTTCAGAGTAGACGACCTGGGCAACACTCAGCTGCTTGGGTTCAATGGGTGCTGTCTCCTGCGTGTCCTTTTTACTGTCAGCAGGGTTGTTGGCTTCGAGCTCTTGCTGCAAGTGTCGTGGTACATGGCATTAAAAAACAAAAGCTGTCAGGACCTGCGGCCTGACAGTTTGAAAAGGAAGCGGCGCGAATCTATGGCGAGACATTTCGCTCGTAACGTCACCAAGAATATGTATGAATCATAGGCAAATATGCTATGTCAATCGGCAAAAGTGCGACAGGAATTTCATATGACACACACAAGGAAGCTTACCGAAGGAGTTGACTGATTAAGAATTTGACACAACATAAGCTTCATGCACTGTTTTTTCCCACTTAACAATGAAACACCAACTAGCCCAAGCTTCTCTTCGAGTTTCAGCTCTTTGTAACGTCAAGCTTGAGGCACAACATTTTTAAATTTTCACAAATTTAAACCACCGATGGAAAAGATAACCGCTGTGCACGAGATAACCGCTGTGCACAACTGACTACTGCAATGCATGGCATAGTTAAGTGTCTGAGAAAGATACCATTGCTTCTTTTATAAGTTTACAAAAGCCTGAAAAAGCTCCAGTCAATGCAATAAGAAGGGTACGGAGGGGGTATTTGATTTGGTTGCCTTTTAATTCTGCCAACACGATTAGTTTGCAAAGGTAAAAACAGCTGTGTTACGTCATACCACGCTGTGCATTGCTATGCATCTGCTGAGATTAATAAACAGAACTGAGTCCACAGCACAAGAAAGACATGCTTGTAAAAAGGCTCCTATGAGGACTAGTTGGGTATGGCTTTCACTTAGATAAGTGTGCAGCCACTCCAGCTGTGCCTTCCCTTTCTGCACACCTCATCAAGGCATGTCAAACACACCTTCCCACCATACACTCGCGCTTGAGTCTTCCTTGCCCACACTATAAACTATCCGCACGTTGTATGCACTGCACGCCCTTATGCTCTCTTCAATGCTGCTCAATGCAAGAATAATAACTGTTGGAGTATTACATCTCAAAAAAACAATATGATCATCAGAGGTGCCATTGCGGAGGGCTCTGGAAATGTGGACCACTTGGGATTCTTCAATGTGCACTTATATCTACCATAAAATCACGAGTAAGCACCCCTCCACAAGCAAGCACCACCGTACGGAGATTTAAAATATGCACCCCCTCCTCCCTTCCCACCGTCTGAGGCACTGTGCTGTGCTCCCTACCAAGCTGCAGAAATTAGGCCCCTTCTTCCTCTTCTAACCACCACCAATATTTGCACTGTTTCAGTCACTGTGTTGTCCACCCTAGGGAGAATGAGGACAGCAAATGCACGCTCAGGATTTCGCGGTAAGCACAAGGGCCTTTGGCATTTCGCCTCCATTGACATGCGGCCACTGTATCTGGGATTCAATCTTGCAACTTTCAGGACAGTAGTGAAGTACCATAGCCATTAGACCACCAGCACGAAACGCCCGATGGAGGAAAAGACCCCAAACCACCAACCACAGTACACAGGTGAATGCAGTAAATCGGACCTACCTGCTTTTTCCTGAGCTTGTTAGTCTGCGACTCGACCTGCGCAATCTCCCGGTCTATCCTGTTGATGGCACTGAGCAAGTCATCCTTGGAGGACCTGCCCTGGGGCGAGAGCGGGGGCCGGCCGTCCTCCCCAGGCAGAGTGGGAGAGATGGCTTCGGTCTGGGGCACATACGCGGCGGGCTCCTTCTTCACTTCCACACCCATCAGGTGGTGCTGAGACGAAAGGTGCGATGACGACGACGATGGGTGCTGATGGTGGTGCGGCGAGGAGGTGTCGATGAGCAAGGGCTGCTGCAGGGCCAACCGAGGCCTCTTGTTCAGGTGAACAACCTCAAGTGGTTCGACAAGACCGCTCGCCGCCCCCGCTGCTGCGGCCGCGGCAGCCGCTGCCGAGCCCCCGGGGGGACCTCCCACCAGGCCCACCAGACCCCCGCCCAGGTCGCGCTGTTCGTACTGAGGGAACCGGTATGCCTCCAAGTACCTGTGCATAAACATAACAGTCACATAAAGCTGGCTGCAACAAATCATAGTGAATCAAAGATCACAAAATGGGAACATGCAATTCTTACAATCAGAGTTTTCAAGCTGACTTAACTTGACTGATATGTGGGGTTTATCGTCCCAAAACCACCATATGATTATGAAAGACGACGTAGTGGAGGGTGTTAAGTTTGGCCTGGAAAGTCGTCTGGGCAGATGACATTGTGAGTAAGCCGGTCCTATGGAAAGGCTCTCAATCCCTTCGGCGCCCAGTCTGACAGACGCTGTTGAAGATTTGAGCAATTGTCCAGACCAAGCAGCAAGCAAAGGCGAGTTCCCGTCCTTCAAATGCGGACCCTTTTGTCGTCCCTTCAAGCAGAAGCGGTGACTAATGGACTCGGCGACTCATCGGGCAATGGAAAAGCTGGCGTGACCGGCGCCAGAGCTGACGGCGGAGCGGCGCTTCTTTAATCCTCAGTCAAGTAGCCGACCGGCCGACTGCCTATGCCCGCCAGGCATTGTCCCTGCTGACCGGAGGATGAGACGTCGTGTCGCCGCGACGCCACAGAGAGGACAACAGGGACGGCGTCTTCCTGGGGGAGACCGCGACGGACACCGCAGATCGCCCCGCTAAATTGGGCGAGCGGTGCGGTGGACCCTTTGAAGTATCTGGCCAGGATCGTGGGAACTTTCGACTAACGGCACACACACTACGAGGAAGAGCCCTGCTGGCGCCACCACAGTGCAGTGTTCACGTGGACCTTGCATGCTCGTCTCCCTCACCTGTGTGTGTGTGATTGGTGTTCCGCTCGGAGAGGAGGAGCCCGACAGGGCATAAAACGAAGCCGGAGAGTGCTGGACGTCGCTCTGAACTATAACGTTCAACCACCACGCTCGTGGGTTGTGAAACCCCTAACCTTTCTGTAAATATGTGTAAATAGTGACATAAACCTGTTTGTTTTCCGTATCCTCTTGTCAGCGTTCAGTTCCTCCATCCGGATGCCATCACCTGCAACATCTTCCTTCCCACTTCTAACAACTGGTGGCAGCGGTGGGATGCCATCATCAGCGACCTTCCTCCTTCAACATCTAACAAGGGCTCCAGACATTTCAACCACCTGGGGTTCTCTAACGTGCACCTAAATCTGAGCACACAGGCCTACAGCATTATCCCCTCCATCGGAAATGCAGCGCCACAGTCCAAATTCGCTCCCACAACCTGCGGGTCAGCAGCCGAGTACCTTAGTTACTAGACCACCGGGGCTGGGCGACATGGTCAAGGAAGTGGCAGACTCCCAATACATTTGCAAAATATTAACAGATCCTACGTACCATGGGAATTGATGTTATGCAAAGCATGTGCGGGGAATGCGACTAGTGATGAAATCTTTTTTATTGCACGAAAAGTAACCAAATGTCGCTAAAGTTATGTACAATCATAGTACACACTGTTGTGTTGAACAGTGCATATGCTTTGCGTAAGTTAGATGAATGATGATGTCAACAGCAAGATGAGTATTACGAGCACTAAAAAGCAGTACACTCATATGTACCACTTCTGCTTGCAAACTACCTTCAGTGGATGGCGCTTCACTACAATTGATGTTAATGTGACGTGATACTTGTGTCATACAAGTACAGATGCGATGTTTATGAAATTATATAGTCTACAATGCAACCACAATTCACGTTTCACCAACATTGTGCCTGCATAGGGTGTTCTTCCAAAGCAGTTTCGAGACTTGGCATTGCTCTGTGGCAGAATACTTCATTGCCAAGCAAAATGCTCGAATTCGATCCCTCCTGGGACCCTGATATTTAACGTTTGCATTGTCGGGTGAATGCTGCCGATGTCAATTTCTCCCCTCTCGCACCCGAATTACCAATATCAGCTCTCGCCATTCCTGCCACATATAAAATGCCCATCATATGTGGCATATACCCACATACCGTGGCCCAGGGTAAACGGGTATGTGCCACACGTGTCTGGAGAAGGGTTTGGCGATGCACACGGCGGGACTTTCCCATTCATGTCATGAACTTTCCCTCCCATACAAAGATTGGTTGACCCCAACTTAAGAAGGCGATCACGAGAGCACCCAGACGCGGGCGAGCGGATTGACAGACAGACTGGAACACATAATGTAGCATGCTTCTGGAGAGACTTTTTACTGCATGATAATGACTATGATGCCTCTAGAAACACACACTTCTGCTTCTGGAGAGACTTTTTACTGCATGATAATGACTATGATGCCTCTAGACACACACACTTCTGATTAGCATGTCAATCGCTAACCTGTGCAATGTCAAGAGTTAACTGAAGACCGCTACTCGCATTATTAGTATTGTCCCTCTATGAAGAAGTAGTTGGCCACTTATCAAACAAAGAAAACCCACCGTTCCCGCTCAGCCTGGTTGGCGGCGTATTCTGCAGGCGTCGGGAGCAGAGAAGGTCTCCGCCGCACATGCTGTGGCTCGGATTCTCGGTAGCGTTCCAAAATGAACTCCTGTTGCTGCTGCTGCTGCTGTTGGTGCTGCTGTTGCTGCTGCTGTTGCTGGTGCTGATGATGCTGCTGTTGCTGTTGTTGCTGCTGTTGTTGCTGCTGCTGGTGTTGCCGCTCTGCCTGCAGCTGCAAGACAAAAGCACAACTCGTCAGCAACCGGGGCACACTATGAATACTATTATGACAATTAGTTATAATACCCTGTGCGTGAACTTCCAGTGGTCCTGCTTAAGTAATGGCCAAGACACACTCTGCACTGGGGTGAATTCATGTCAGGTGATCATCATCCGTTCAAGCCAAGCAGTGGCTTCGCAGAAGCGGAGGCATCTCTCAATATGGAAGCGAATTTCGCAAGTCAGCGCTATCTTCAGAAAAACAAAAGGTGGGACTAAACCTCACTCGTGCATCCGAATTCGAACGAAAATGCTGATGACTCAAGGTCCCACCAAACACCCAAAAGCAGGGTAAGCATGAGGTGACCTGGCAGTAGTGTGTAAAATTCCGAATTGGCTTTAGCTGAGCGAATCTTTATGCCCATGCTCTTCACAGTACTCATGGATTCAAACGCAACATGAACTTTAGTATAACGAGATAACCACTTCATGTCACAACGAATATGGTCTTAAGATAATCTTGATTTATGTGTCCCGAGGAAAAATTATGCCGATACGATCTGAACAAGGAAGTGGAAGTGATGGTGCTCGTCATTTCCGCCTGCCATGCTGAACATGGCAAAGTATGTCTGGCCTCCCCTTTGCACACAGCACTTGAGCACTTGCACTTTTCTCAACAGAAACACTTTAATAGAGCCAATGAACCCAATTATTTAGGGTTTGTTGGTCATCCAACACAGCACCAGCTCAATCATCAAGCTATTCTTAACCCTTTGAGCCCTGGATTTTTTATCTTGGTCGGACTACACTTTTTATGCGCAGTTTTTCTTGTAATTAGGACCTCAGAAGACCAAAAACGAAAAATTGAGCCACTGGTACAAGCATTTTTGGATCAATTAATGTGGCATCAAATTAGATAATTAAGACACAGTGATTGGAAAATGAAAAAAAAAATGGCTTCTTTTTTTCTGCCAATCAATGGTGCACACAAAATGGAAACCAAGGTCTTACTTTTCAGCCTAATACTCACTGAAACAGCCTCGGTACGCCAACCCGAAAATGGCGCTTACCCGCCTCAACTTACGCGCCTCGGCTTCACGGAAGACCTCGGTCGCGCTTCTTCATTGTAGCTGCTACCTCCACCAACGTACCGCAATATTGGTGTCAATCGCAGTGGGGATTATTAAAGAACTGTGTCCCCACGAATGAGTAATATTGGTTACGATTCCGAGATATTACGGGAAATGCTTGTGCAGGTGGTGTCAATTGACACCGCCAAGGGCCGAAAGGGTTAAAAGTAGGTGCGCCTTGTAGGGGAGTGGCTGTCACAGCAGCTTATTGAGCAAGCCGCAATTCTCGGCAAGATAAGAATGAAACAATACAGCAACGCCCCACTTGAAAAAGCCCGATATCGACAATGACACTCGCCGCATTACACAATAGCCAAGAAACAGGCATGTTTATGTTCAGCATGGCTTGACAAATGAGCATGCATTTAGGAAAGTTTTGAAGAGAGACAAAACATATGTGCAATGCAAGGAACAGCTACTGTAAAATTCCGAGCAAGCCTCCCCCGTCTAAATGGTCAAGGATAATTCGACAAGATTTGTAAAGGTGGCCCTTCCTCAGTCATAGATCAATACTCAAGATGGCCACAGAAGAGGTGATAATAATAAAGAATGCACACTCGTGCTTGTAATGAAATCAGTTTATTGAATGTGCATTCAATCAACATTTTCATTTGCCCTTGTCGGGTGAATAAAAACAGTGAATGAAACAGTGCGACAAATGGCACGGGGGAAAAGAGGCCGCATATTTGAAATCTCCCGAATGGAGGGGAACGGTGATGTACACGTGCTGCCATCTATACTTCTATGTTGTTTTCTTTTCCCTTGGGTGACAGTGGACAACGGACACTTTTTTCAAGACATGAAACTATGCAATGCTACATCAGGCTCTCAACAAGCTGTTGACACCTGCAAGAAGTAGAGTTGTGCCAAGTTGGCAGGCAGAAAAAAGCACATCAACAAACAGCTTGTCCTTCATGTAAAGAAGTTTCCTCCTTCAGCACATTAATCTTCACTAACAACCTCTGAACAATGCCCTAAAGCCAGACTGTTTGTCAATGCCCAGTCTCTGCGCTCGCCAAATACGGCCACTATCGCAAGAAACAAAAAAGGACAAGGCCAACATCAGTTCGCAATGTTGTTGCCCTGAGCGAGACAAAAAAAAAAAAAAAAAAAAAAGAAGGCCCTCGAAGAGCCACATGAATGGAATGTGACAAGATGGAGAGAGGCGCAAACAGATCACAAGCAGGCTGGCGATAACACAGCTGCCCTTCCTCCAATCCCACCCTCCTCCTCGCTACTCGGATAAGCCAAGTGGCATATTTATCTGGGGCTAAGGCAACACCTTGGAGCACAATGATACGCGATGGTGGAAGAGCCTTGCCTCGCTTATCGGTAAAAGGAGGGGGAGGAAGTGCGCAGAAACCACTGCCACTACAGCGCAAAATTTCTCTGGAGGTAGTGCTTTGCAAGCAAGAGGGTGGCAGCAATGGCGGCAACTTTCGTCTTGTCACTGATATACGAGTAGACCTATCATTCCACTGACTCACCCACTTCCCATCTCCTGTATGTGTGTGTGTGCACACTCTTGTTACCCGGCGCTGATAAAGAGACTCTGGCGGATGTTAACAATGGCCCAGGCAGGAACATGCCACCAAGGGCTGATAAGAGAGGATGCGAGTAAGTGAGAACACAACAAAAAATATATGCTGGCTTGGCTGGCCTCCAAGGTGGGCCGGGGTCTGTCAGTTTGCACTAGGCCGAGCGGAAATGATAATGTATCCTTGATGACAGGTGCATTCTTAACTGGTGGCTTGTTTCTTTATGATTTGAATGGCTTAGTAACACACACCTGTGCATGACAGCAACAACCTTTCGAACACAAGAAAATGGCTTCACACGTGGCATTTTTATTTGGCACATTCGCCGCCAAGTGGTGGTACCTGTACACACTAGCTAACGTCAGTCCATCTGTAAAGTGAGCCAAAACAGCATAATGACAATGCTATTTACAACATGAACTAAATGTTTATTAAGATGTAATTAATGCCATTGTACCCACTATGCAAGTAGTCATTCTCACAACACACGTGTGCAGTATCTCACAACACAATACACAGTAATGAGAACCAAGATCACCATCTCAGGCCAGACAAATGTAACGACCTGAAGAATGAGGAGTGTTCAAGTCTGTATAATGAGGAAAGACTGTAGAAATTTTAAAGAATTGTCACCCATCTTAACAGTAGTGCTTACTACACTCCATCTGAACATTCAACCCACATTCACCCTAACCAGCAGGTTTGCAGACTGCATGGCGATGGGACAATAAATAATTTGGAGCTTCTAGAAACCCGTTACAGTTCAAGGAATTAGGCAAGCCTTAAGTTAAGGGAATTAGGCAAGCAAGAATTCTTTCGCTCCAAACTTTCCTGCATCTTGAAGGTTTCTGCAAAGCTCATATTCTTCAATTCAGTGAGAGTATTAGGCTGCGACTTGTCAAACGTTAGTAGAAATGTGTTACTGCAGCGTTCAATGCATAAACCAGGTGAAACTTTTGTGTTCCAAGAAACTTGTGTTTTTTGAAGTCGCCTGTGTGGGTGGTGACTACTACTTTTTTATTCTTTCATCAATGTATATGTAACAAAATGGTGCAAAAAGAAGCCCACATGAATTCTCCAGAACATACAGGATTTTTTTTTTTTCAATTTTATTATTTCTTCTAGTACAAACTAGAAACGTCCTCCGGGGCTAAAAACTGCTGTCAGCAGCTTGACTGGGCCCGGGAGGCGTTGTAAATGACAGCGCGTGGACATAAACATTTTAGCACAAAAGAAATTTGACACTCAGATGCACGATTCAGAGGATGGTGAACATTCAATGATACACATGTTTACATAAAAAGCAAAGCACTCAAAATATGACCAGTTAATACAAACCATTACACATGAATATACCATATACATGCTTACATGTTAGTGAAACACATATTCAATTCCTTGCAGGATAATTCAGTAGCGTGAGCATAAGTATTTAGAATTTTCGGTAAATTGTGCTTGAGAAATTGCAGCTTACATTCAGTGAAAAAACGCGGTGCAAACCAAGGTTCAGGGTTTCTTAGATGCACAGGTACGTTGTGGCATTTCAAGGTTGCTAAGGATATAAGAAAATCGCTTCACAAAAGAAAATATCTGTAAAGCACGGTATTTGTAGTACCGATCTACCCGAATGATTTTTTTTTTTTTTGTGACAATGTTTTTGTTGTGGCCCGGGGTACGATATTTGCAATGTGCTGGAGAAGTGTTTTTTGAAATGCAATTATTTTGTCTATGTTGGTTCGCATTGTGGTCGCCCATATACTAAACTGCAATAATCTAACTGCCAGGTGAATGAATGGGTGATAAATTTGTAGTTTGGGTTTTGTAGGCATGAAAGCTCTACAGCGAGATAGTACACCGGTTACTGCAGAAAACTTGTTTCAAAGGTTATTAAAATGGGCGTTCCAACTCATATGGCATGAAAATATAACCCCATGTATCTTATGTTCATTAACCGATTCTATGGTGTAACTAAAAATAGTGGGAAAACCCTAAAAACACAAAAAGAGGGAAAAACGTAGACCCACATGGCTCTTTTTTCGTCTTCCACCAGCTATTTGTATGCCATTTACCCCTGTATGAAGAACAACCAAAAAAAGCTAATCAGCCATGCTTCACCAGAGACAACAGCTTGTTAAGTCTGAACTTTCACATAACTCCCATAGGGAGAAAAAAAAAAAAAAAAGAAAGGCTTTCCGAGATACTGGTCGAGTGGGAACCCTTTCGAAGCTCTCTTTGCTTACACACAACACGCACACAGTAACCCACCTGGAAGGCATCGCGGTAGCTCTGCTGGGTCGAGTTGAGCAGGGGCGAAAAGTGTGCGCGGGTCGGGTCCTGTGGGTAAGGGTAGCCCCGTGTGCCAGCCAAAGGGGGACTCAGGGGCCCAGCCCGCTTGTAAGGAGAGCCCGCATCATGGCCCCTGCACCACCAGCAGACCAGAACAACAACCGCACGTCATGCAACACTTGTGCAGAATCATCACCATGCAAGCACAAGAACCTCACTTTGTTGTCTATGAACATTAAACCCCAATCCATTTACCAGGCATGTTGCAGTACGGGAGTTCGTATCAATTTGCCCTACTTATGTTTACTCTTGCCATTTCGCACGCACCTGTGTGTGGTGGCTAGGCTAGGATGTTCATACTATCATGCTCATCACAGTGCCATTATCTACTAATGCAACACAACAGGCAGAGAGCAGAAGTCAAAGTAGGCATCTTTTGTATTGTCAAACTTTGGTTTTATTGACAGTCCAATACCTGCTGGTGGCATGTTGTTTCTTCGTCTTCTTTCTCTTCCCTTTATCTCATGAATATCTACACTTCAACCAAACCTACAAATTATGCTGTTTGCATTTTTCTAGGCTTTATACTGTTGCTTCCAACAAAAATGAGCCCCTCGATCAAGTTTTCTTTTATTCAAATTAAGACAAATTATCGGGCAATTGTTAGGTTTTCACAACAATTAATCACAAATATAACCTTCCTCAAGGTCCTCCAAATGCAAAATGTCGCAAGGTCTCTCTATGAAAGCATAAATTGCACTTCAAAAAAAAACACATGAAATACTCCTCTACAATAGGGCACATTATTGCTACGAAAGTACTCACACCTGGGCCCGGAAAGGGTATTGCGACCTCTCCTTTGGAAGCTTACAGTGCAGCGATCCCTTCAGTTGTCCACAAGACATTGCAACAACAGTAGTTTGCAAGAGTATTTTGCAGTTCTTTCACATTAGCCAAAACCACCAAGTAACACTGCTGAAACGAGAGCTTGCCATGACAGAATACGTAGACCAGTCTACGATTCTGCTGATGGCTGTTTCACACTACAAAATGGAGTTTTTCAGCCGTCATTTCACACCTGCACACATGCCTTGCTTACACTGAAGGATAAGGAAAAGGAATGCTAACAAAGAAACACAGCTGCTCCCCAACAGTTTATCAGTTGGCAACCACAGGTGCAGGAAGCCTAAGACACAGTGCAATACTAGAACACCCTTTGATACACGTCTTATCTTGTAACTGGTTACTCAACAGTGGAAAAGAAAAAGATGCCTCCCTGCATATTGCTTTTTAAACAAAAAAATGAGGGAAACCTTTGCAAGCAATGATACACACCTACAGTGAGAGTGTCTTTCATCAGCGGCTTAACTTAACGGGATGGGAGACACCAAACAGGAAAGAGCCCCCTCCGCTTACATTCTAGACTAGTCACTGCGCTGCTGGCTAAAGATGCAGTGTACCCAACGTGCTCATCATTCAACCATGCTTACAAAATGGGCTGTGCTAACGTATAGAGCTATCGTTCCAAATGGGAAAACAGTACTCCTAGATAAATGTTGTAGAGAAATAATTTGCCAACCATTATTACGGGAACCACAATATCGATGTACTGCTCTTATTTTCTGAAAACTTCACTTAAAAAAAAACTGTGCATGTTATGAGCATCACACAATCAATATTTCTGGAGCCCTTCACTAAAAAGCAGACCTCAATCGCGAAATGGTTTTAGCATGTAAAACTCCAGATATGAAAACTGCACACCTCCATTATTCAACAAGAAGCACGACAAGCTCCTTGTTGGACAGGCACCTCCTAGCACAAATGGTGCACAGAGGGTGAGGTAATGGAGCAACAAAAAAAGGCTGCAATTCGAACCAACATGTATGTCACAGGTGTCTAGCCTCAAACGAGAAACAGCGCAGTGCACACGGACAGAGTTGCGCAGGCCAGGACAGTTCCTACAAAATGTGTATGCTGCCACCGAGCAACAGGAAATAGCAGACGCATGTGTCGCATTTCACAGACATCCCCGACCAAACGCCCAGCTGCTGCAGATGCAGACGACTGCCGGCCCCACACGTGCCGCCAGAAATAAGCCATTGTGTGAAGTGAGCAAACGTACTAGTCTGCTGCAACGCACCTGATGCCATTTCGCGGATGTAAATCTCCCTTCGCTATCTGATACGATTACGCTAACGGGATTTCTCGTGAATAAGATACAAAAGAAAAGCTACAATCTCGAGGCCTACATGTTTATTGCCCAAGCTTTTTTCAAAGTTAAAGCAGTGCAACTGACACAGCATCATATACCATCCTTCATAATTTCGCACTTCCAAGCTCTTATAGCAGCGCAAGTAAGACAGCGTCCTTTCATGTACTATTTCGCACTTTTCAGACACCCCCCCCCCATTTCCTAGCTGCCCCAAAGTCCATTTTTGTGTATTATCCCACTACACTTGCTCCCTAGGTTGTAGCGGGCAGTCTAACGCTACTTCACTGTCGTTTCCAAGTGGCTTTTCGCAAGAGCCTGAGGCACACACACACACATCACTCGTTGGAAGTTCTCCCTAGAAGCTCTTGCCGGTCCTTTATGCACAAGAACAGTGGGTAACAAAATGTCTGTGCTGTCACTATGCACGAGTTATCCAGCAATGCGATGTCAAGTCCCACCTCGCTGAATTGGGAGGCATGCTCGCTTTACAGTGTCCAACAAAGCAGCAGCCAATGTACAACTCGCCACAGCATTCCAGCATATAAGGAACACTTTTGCTACACAACAGGTTCAATTCAAGAATGGAGCATTCCAACGAGGGCACAATAAAATCATGTATTCGTTTTACACGATACTCACGTGCCACGAAAATTTCTCATTGCACTAGTAGCACTGTTGCAAGCAATAATAGAAATAATAATAATAATAATAATAATAATAATAATAATAATAATAATAATAATAAAACATATAATAAATGAAAAGAGCAGATATAGAGCTATAAAAAAGTAACCTTTTCACATTATCAGTCACAATATTTGAAAATGAAACAAAAAAATATATGGAGTCAAAACAAGAAGAAAATGAAAGCACAAGCAATGCTAAACTTCCTTGTGGGTGAATGCACAGACGCTCGTGTAATTCGAAAACAGCTGCATCGACCTGTCACGTCAATGCCTGAAGGATGAAAACAGGTGCCCCACGTGCCCAATCGTAAAGAGACAAATCGAGAGAAAAAAATTCTATCAAAAGCCATCCCACACGGCGCAGTTTTGTGAGTCAGACGTTGACCTCTTCCCCGCTTCCCTCGCAGCAGCTGCGCACAGAAAGACTTGGGAAAGATGCTTTCTCAAAGAACAGCTGCGGCGGCCGTTGTTGTCTGGAAAAATGATGGGCCTTTGTCAAGGAACAAGAAGATACCAATAGCAGCATCCAGTTGGCCCCCCCAAGAACAGCTGTCGGCAGCGAGCGTGCATGGCTCTGCTGTATACACGCATGCCATCATAAAACAAAATTTCCAAGAATTCTTGCAAGCAGCGGTGGATAGGAAAGTTATCGCCCCTGATGCATTCAGCGCAAGGCCGTTGCACCCTGTGCAAACAAACAGCTGACAATCGATGCCTTCAACAGGTATGTGCAGAGGCCAAGTTAAAGATGAACCCCATTCTAGCTGGCAGAAACACTGCAGGAGGAGTTTTTGTGAGGAGACGAGATGACAGATGTGCCACAATAGGCTTGCAGGGAAAACAACTCTCACTAATGCTGCGCACTTTTGTTGATTGTGTAATGCCTGAGAGAACACACACACACACACACAAAAAAAAAAACAAGCGTAGAAATACAACAGCTGTCTCATTGACGAAAGTGCTGACGCACTTATTACCAATGTGAGGTAATGAGTAATGCCCAAAAGTGGCTGGTGGCCTTTTTCAAACTGCACCAAAAGACCCCAAATGCTGCCACTATGTTAATGGCATGACTTGTGAGTACTTCTACTGTTTCTCCAAGGAACGACCACAGCGGCACACTTCTATAAAGATAAGCATTTCTGCTGTCAGGCTCCAGGGAACAGTGATAGAATCTTTGTAGCTAATGTGTCTGCCAGATGAACTACGGGTGCACTACTTGACAAGCCTCCAAGCATGCACTGCTTCTGAAGTTTCGGTGTGTCAGCTGGGTATAGATCAATCAATCCATGACCTGTCAATCTAAGAGGCAGCGCTTTTACGAACATTCATTTTATCGTCAGTTTCGACTATGCGCATAAGCAGAACAGGGCACGGCCCGCCAAGTAAGCTATTTTGAGCAGCCCAGCGGCCAGCCAATAATCGAACGAAAATTATCATCCCTGCTAACCAGGAGAGCCCGAGGAGCTACGCCACCAACGCGGCAATGCAAAACGCGTCGCCGACGGCTACGGTTGGCGACGAGACTGCGGCACCTTGTAGTAGTAGTAGCCGGGTGCTAGCAGCTCGTTATAATTCGAAGCCAGCAGAGGTGCCGGCGGCAGCAGCAACAACAAACTCGCGATCAGAACGCAAACGAGATCGCAACAAGAGGAGGCCGCCACTTTTTCCGAGAAAACAGAGGAGGAGGAGGATGAAGAAGAAAAGGGGTAAAGAAAAGGCTGTTGTGAAACAGCGTGGCCGTGACGGGCGCGCGCAACCAGCTAGTTGCTCGGCTTGCCGCTTTTCGCGCTCATTTTCCACGCCGTCCTCGAGATGTAATCATGGCCGCCGCCGCCGTAACTGTTGCTTCCCCCTGCCCCTTCCCATTACCCCCTTTGCCGCCGGCTCGATTGCAGACAATGATCTTCCCCCGCTGGCGGACGGCAGTAAGGTGAAGCCATCGCCAAGGCGAGCCATTCACGGACGAATAAAAGTGAAGCGGGAATAACATTCCTGCCATTGCATGCGGCTACGCTACGACCGGAGGGGGGGGGGGGGTTGTAAGGACGTTTTTATGAAAGCATCGAGGGGAAGCCTGGGCAGAGTGTACGGCGGGGCCAATTGGGAGAGAGAGAGAGAGAGAACTGGCAGCACGGTGACAAAGTGGGTACGTGGTGGGCGCTGGTTGCTCCATTGAAACGTTCCGTAATTCATTACTACGATTTCATATGTTGTCTGTAAAATCCCGGAAAT